GGAAATAGAGGACAAAGAAGGACGATAAGAGGTCAACATTTCAAAATATTCAGACCCCAAAAGTTACCCTAAACCCTAAACCCTAAACCCTAAACCCTAAAGTGCAGAACCCGGCTAGGCTTCGCAGGTTTTTTCGCGGTCTCGGTTTGGAGACTTTGGTGCGCTACTGCGCATTCGGCGGTTGCAGCTGCGTGGGTTCGAGGCTTGCCAATGATGCCGTACAGGCTTCCCCAAACTCTCAACCCTAGGCCTTAAACGGTTTAGAATAGAGGGCAGAAGAGACGAGGCAGACTACTTCGAAAACAAGACTTCGAAAGTCGGGGACCATGAGCATTGAAAACCCTTTGTGTGTGCCATATATAATAGTGAAGAGCTGTACGCCCTAAAATTTACAACCATAAAAGAAAAACCCTAAACCCTAAGCCGCGAAGCGGACTTTGGCCTGGACTTGGAAGTTTGTTGAACGAACTGCAGCTGTGGGTGTGGAGCATGAGGTCGGTTTAGATTGAAGCGCTGTGTAGAAAAGCCTATAGAACCCTTGGAACTGACCCTTTCGAACCCTGTGATATGAAGGTCTGCACAACCGAGGCTATTGCCTAAGGAAGCTTATCTTACAATCTTACTCTGATCATGAAAGCCCCTGCATTCTATGATCTGTAGAAGTCTCTCGCCACGCAAGCCAGGGCATATGTGCTCGGGCACTTTTAGCTGAGCGCTCTCTCGACATCTCGCTCCAGAAACATTCGACAACCAGGGCGCCCCTTTCTTAAGGGGTTCGTTTCCAGGCTTCTGTAAGGATGTTTTGGGGGTTTAGGTATTTTACCTTAGAGAATGCCGTGCCAGGGACGGTTCTGTAGCGTGTGTGGCTCGGGTTACTTGAAAGTTTCGGACTCGATTCTGGTACATAGATTGCTGTGGGCTTTCTATGCCCTGTCGGTATATGCAGGGCTTCATCCACTGCCGATCGGTGAGCTTCTGTTGTGGCTTGACCAGCTTCGGTATCCATTCAGACTTGACAACGACATGGCTCAGTTAGTCCAAAGACGACTCAGATGTGACAAACTGCACTTATACAAGGTCCTCTTAAACCTCATGCGAGCAAATATCCAATATCTCAGACGCCTAAATTCACCACTTGGCGAAAGACCTTTCCGGGCATACTGCGTCGTGACCTCAGCCATGTAATTGTCTAAAGGGTCTTGAGTCTTGAGGTCGAAACATAGGCTTCAGGCTTAGGGTTTAGGGGTACGACTTTAAGGTTTGGGTTTCTGGTTGAGTGTACAGCTTGGCACTCAACTTCTTCAGTTCTTTTGCCACAGGTGTTTGTCTTTCAGACTTTCTGGAGCGTGTGGGTACAGAATTAACATTTTCTGATGGCGGGATCGCCAAAGCTCCAGGGGACAGTGGGACACCGAAAAGTTGACCATAGAGTTCCTTTAAAGGGGTCTATAAGAGTATAAGGGATCTATAAGGGTACTATAGCATAGGGGCCTTAATCGTCAAACACGTAATACCGGGCCGGACATCCCCAGTTCGGGTTCAGAGTTTAGGGTTTGCCTCTGCACTTCACCCAACCAAACCAGAAGGCCTGCATCTTGCACCTACTACCTCCGCTGAATGCGCTGGGTTGCAATGATTGCAGTGTGCCAAGAACAGACTCGTAGATCTCTCTAACCGCAAATTGCCTCTAGTGTGCTGGGGGTGTTGACGGTCTTGGATCCGGTTAAAGGATCTAAAGCAGTTTATTTATGGTTAAGGGTTCATGGTCCGTCCCTATCTTCCTTCCATGCAACTATGTGTACATAGAAGCGAACCATGAGGAACAGTAAGTATTACACCCTATCGAAGTAAGCAGGAGGCGCACCAGGAACCCCACGGAACAGTGTTGTTGATTAATGCTTAAAAGTTATTGGGGATCTATAGAGTTTATAGTAACACAAAAGGGTTCAAGGCTACCTGCTCTACTACTATAAGCCCTAAATACACCGAAACCCTGAACAGCAAAAAGGTTAAAGGCTACCTACTCAACTACTATAAAGCCTCCCTAAAAAGGGTTAAAAGGTTACCTACTCTACTACTATAGACCCTAAAGCCCCAAAAAGGTTAACGGTTACCTACTCTACTACTCAGTGTATTTCGTCAAGGCAGCGCTTCCCACCACCATGGTAACATCGGGGGGGGTGGGGTTTCGGAAAGAAGGGACCCGTCCTGAGGATCCTACTGTAAAAACCCGATTAAGAATCCTTGGGCCTGCATTAGGGCTCCTTCAAAGAGTTACTACAAGGGTTTCTGTAAGGGTCCTATAAGGGTACTATAATCATGTAGGAACCTGATTCAGAAACCTTGGGCCTTTATTCGGGTTCCTGAAATGAATCCTACAATTTTGGTGTTATAGGCCCAGAGTTTCTTGATCAGGTTCCTACTTTTCTTCATTCCGCGGCTCCTGCTAGGGTTTAGGGTATAGGGCGTTTAGGGTCGTATTATGTCTTATTGCTTTAAAAGTCATTCATCAAGACTTCAGAGGTTCTGTGTTTAGGACGCCGGATCCCAGAGAAGCTCCTATGCACAGAGGAGCCAGTGTTGCATTCTAAGGGCTACAAGGTGCGTCAAGGGATGTTTGGTGACGACTGCGGGTGCTGTTGAGCGTGAAATGATCAAGTCCAAGGTTCCCCCGGTTTAGGGTTTATAGAGGTGATAGGGATAGAGGCTTAGACTTCAGGTTTATGCTCCCCATTTTATCCTGCACTGAGCGTTGCAGGCACCTGGTCGCCCGCTCCCGTGCAGGTTGAGCTGGAAACACTACGAGAAAAAACACGTGAACGACACAAGAGGAGGAAGCGGCAGGAAAATATGCCCCCAGCCTCAGTTCTACCCTGACTAGTTCCTAAGTCCCTGGGGCCAACCTAAACTCCAAACCCTCCCTAGGCCCCTAGGCCCAATAAAACTTACAAGCCTAACCAAACCGTCTGCATTGCTTTGCAGCTGGAAGTCTTGAGCGGTTTAGTTGGACTCCTTAAAGCAAGGCACTCCAGCTTCCTGTGCAAATAGTACTACACACTAGGAAAGCTGCCTCGTAGAACCTGGGAGCTTAGGTTCATAAGGCTACCCTAAACCGCACTGATATGTAGGCTATATGCGCACCCTACTAACGAGCACGTAACCAACGAGTTGCACAGACAAAGGCCTGACATACTGCCAGGCATACATAAATACTGGCCTTCACGATCAAATTCGGGTGTTACCTCTCTCTCTGTCTACATACATATCTGTATGTGTATATATATATATATATATGTATATACATACATACGGACGTGTCAATCTATATTTCTAGGGACTATATGGGGATCACATTGCCAAGTATTCTGACGCCTATACTCGGCAGACCTCGCCGTCGGTGTTGCTGCACTGCTACCTCCTCTTGCGAGTTATTCGTCTGGCTGAAACACAACCTGGGGACAGGTTCTACGGTTTGGGGTTTTAGGGGTTAGGGTTTAGGGTTTATTGTTTAGGGCTTTAGGGCTTAGGGCTTGAGGTTTAGGGCTTAGGGTCCAGGAATTAAGGATAGAACGGCACGCTACACGCACAATTTGCTGCCATATAAGCGTCGAAGGCTTTCCAGTTCCGGTCGCGGCTGCAAGCTGGTCAACTCCCAATGCAAGCCCGTTCCATGACCCCTGTCTGGAACACGACGTGATGTGAGCCGCAGACCAACCAAAAAAACTCCACCGACCCAGCCCTGCCCATGTCCACGGAAAGTTAAGCTGGAATTCATAGTTGGTCCCCTCTGGCACCTGTCGAATATTGAGCTTCAGCCTCACCACAGCCCCCATACGCTCCGAATCCCGGTGACTCTATCGCCCGTAACGGCTGGAGCAAGGGAGTTACACGTTTCTGTCCCCAGGCTCCTGGCCCACGATCGCTGACACCACCTGTCTCCTGTTCAGTCTGGCCTGACATTGCCTTCAAGAACTGACGAATCTTAGGGGGGAGACTCGGGCTTCGGATCGTCTAGGTTTAGAATACTATACCGCCCTTAGAACCATAATAAAAAATAAGGTTGTTGAGATTCAGCTTAGCAATTTGTATAGGAGAAGTCTCCCTGCTTTAGCCTTCGAATAGACAACGGTTGATGATATAAATCCTGCATTACCCATAATAAGGAATATACCATAGTTCCCCTGGTTTAGGGTCCTTAAGGAAATGCAGGATTTATATCATCAACAGCAAGCAAGCTGATGGAAGCTGAACTCATTCCTGAACCTTGGGGCCGCTGTTTAGGTTTTAGCCCCATACAGTAACAGTCTATCATGGGGCTACTGCCACGGGCCTAATATATCTACAGTAGGAGCCAGAAAATTGGAACATGGATTTAGGAGGATTGGTGCTAGGATCCCTTATACTTTACCTTAAGGGCATGGGGATAATGATGTTCCAACTTTCTGGCTTCTACTGTATATGATGAATCATCCAACAGTTAAAGAGAGGGGGCAGTACCCAAGGTTTAGGGTTTAGCGGTTTAGGGTTTGGGGAGTAGCGATACTCAACCCTGATCCCTAGATAGCATCCTACGTCCGCAACCCTAACCTCCAAAATCCTGTGCCAAGTCAGGCTATGCTAACTCTAAGCTCGAAAGCCCTGAACCCTTAACTAAACCGAACCCTAAACCCTAAACCTACATCCTGAACTAAACCTCAACAGGCCTTACACCGTCTTTCCGTAGCCGACAGATATAGGGGCCTTGATAATTAGAATAGGGTTCTGGGGCCCATTATACTAAAATTATAATAAGGAGCCCCCCAGAATAGTATTGGTAATTATCTGGGCCCCTATACAAAACCAAACCCTAAACCCTAAACCCCTAAACCCAAAACCCTAAACCCGTAAACCCTATACCCCTAAACCCTATACCCTAAGCCCTAACCCCAAAACCCAAAACCCTAAACCCTAAAAAACCCACACTCCTCAAAACCCTAAGCCGTAAGCTTCTCAACAGGAGCTCAGATGGAGTTGGATCGTCTCAGGAAGGCCGTTCCTTGCCTGGTCCGACGAAGGGATATCAGGGTTTGTTTGAAAGGTCAACCCTTGTAGGGTTTCAGGTTGAAGGTATAGGAAAGAGGCTCACTGGCCCAAAACCCAAGGACATAAAAGTTGAAACTTTCAGAATCGACTACCTTATAAGAGCCCCAAAAGTTGAAAAGTTGAGTTTACAGCCATTAAGGAGGTCATGCCAATCCGAGAATGAAACGACACCTTCGGGAAGTCTTCTCGTTGCTGTGATGGCGAGAGTTCGCTGAAATCCATGTCCAGCCATGTCTTATAGAATCCCGGGAGAGAGAGCGATGAATGGGGCTAGGGTCTAGGGGTTTAGGGGTTTAGGGTTTCAGGTTTTGGATTGGGAAGCGTGGGGAAAACGGGAAGAGGTGGATGGGTAGATGAGAAGGAAGATGCTGTGACGAAAGATTCTTCTCAGTTGCTCGCAGGGCCCTTTCTCCTTTCAGTTGCAGCCCGAAGACTCCAAAACCCGTTGATCCGAATCTCCATTTAGGGGTTGAGGGTTTAGGGGTTTAGGGGCCCAGATAGAATCTCCCTGAAATCACTCAGATAGACAAGATGCTTTGCAAAGGTCACCTTCTCGTACAATTTCGTGATGCGGTTCGCCATCTGTTGGAATTCGCCTGGGTGCTGACACGTCTTGCGGCAGTTGTCAGTCGTTGCTAGGATACCCAGTAACCTAAGAATAAAAAGGCCTCTCTTTTTAGTATTGGGCAACTTTATAAGGAACCTAGGACTACAAGAAGGGAATAAGGGTACTACTGGGCATCCTAGTCGTTGATTTCTCCCAGTTCCTACAGCTCTGCTTGATGACAGTTTCCATTGCTTGCCGGCCTCCTCTTCTCCTTACTAAAGATCCCCATTATGGTAGTTTCCTAGGCTTTAAAAAACCTATGTTTAGGGTTTAGGGACAGTATTTACGATAGATCCCTATTATGGTACCTCTAGTCTCCATTGTAGTTCCTTTTTTTGGTTAACCGAAATCTCTATTATAGGATCCTAACCATAAAACTGGTTAACCAAAAAAAGGAACTACAATGGAGACTATAGGTAGATTACTTCCGACTTGCCACGTAGTGTTCCTACCGCTGTGCCTGATGATATGTTTTGCATGTTTGGGTAGTTCTCGAAACTAGGGTCCGTTTGGGGTGTCCTCATTTAGAGAACCTATCTCTAAACCCTAAAGACCCTAATCCCTCTACCCCAAACCCTAACCCCCCTAAACCCTAGAGAACTACTTGGAGGATCATGGGACTTAGTAAGTAGGCTTATAAGTACCTCAATTGGGGTTATAAGTAATAAATAACTGTAGTTGCTTCACTTATAGCCCTACTTACTAAGTCCCATGATCCTCCATCTAGAACCCTTATAGATCCCTTTAAGGAACCCTATTATAGAACCCTATAGTACCCTTAAATGGAGCCCTAAGTCCCATGATCCTTTAAGTGGAGAACCACCCATTGGGGCCGACGGTGATCACTTGCAGCGCAGCGTCTCTTCGAAGGACTCGCGGTCGAAGCCCACTCTTCAAACCACGCCTTCACGTTGCCCCACATTGCCTCCGAGCGCTGTAAGCGATTTCTGGGTTTAGGGGTGAGAGTTTAGGGTTTTCGGGTTTAGTAAGGGTTACTTCCACTGTCCGAATCGAAAATGACCAACAAGGCTAGAAGACGGTACATGATAGCTTGATAACTCTGATCGTCATGACACATCTGCGGTAAATGATTCGATACAGACTCAGTATAAACGGAGAGCTATCGAATACGTACAGGTGCACGGATCATAGCCGCACTAATGGTAACCAAGGACTACTGCAAACATGATCGCATCGGTTCTCGTGTCGCCTACCTACCTCCGAAATCCTGTACCCTAGCCTAACTTTTACCCCACAACCTGACAAGCCTAAAACCCCAAAAACAATCCCTAATCCCTAACCGCCCTAACCATCCTACATCCCAAAACTGCACCCGATAAATTGAAATCCCAACCCCAACCCCTGTGAACCCTAAACCCCGAATCGTAAACCCTAAAACCCCTAAACCCTAAGCCCTAAACCCTTATAGTACCCCGATAGAAACCCTGTAGATCCCTTTAAGGAACCCTAAAGGGGACCCTGAAACCTAAACCCCTAAAACCCCTGACCTGCTCGGTGTAGCCGATGGGAGGGAGGATCTTCACCTCGCATGTACAAAACGGTGCCTTCAATAAGCTAAGATGAAATATACTTGGGCTCTTTGAAAGGGTTCTCTGAAGTGTTCCTGATAATATATATATATATATATGTACATATACATATATATATATATGTATGTATGCACATGCATATCATACTTGGACTCTTTGAGACGATCCTTTGCAGTTTTCCTTTAGGGGCGGCCTCAATAATTTGAACAGGTTGTTTCTTGAGGAGGTCCCCTCAAGGGACCACAGCTAGTAGGGTTCTGCAATAAGGGCTTCATAGGACAGTAGCATAGAGACAAGATAGGGTCTTCATGAACGTAATCGGTTCTTGGCATATAATGTAGTTTGGCTGCACATGGACTGCGTTGCTAAGTGTTCCGACCCTGTATGAGGGTTTACTGTTCACGGTTTTGGTTTAAGCTCCAACTTTCTTGGCTTAGGGTTTAAAGTTTACGGTGTGGGTTTGGGCGTTTCAGGCTTTAGCCAGCGAGACTAGGGTTTTGAAGGATTTAGGATTCAGGTTTTACAGTGAAGGGTTCAGGTCAGGTACTCTCCGTGTCTGCCTAGTCGTTCTAGCCCTCGGCCTGCATGCGTATACATTACAAGTAGTACCACATTTGGTGGCCTGGATCTTTCGAAAAGCGTTCCGTACTAATATGGCTTCTCACTAAACCCCACCCCAAACCCTAAACCCGAAACCCCCTCAAAACCTTACTGTACTTCTGCGGGCCCCTACTTGGAGTATCATGGGACTTAGTCAGAAGGGTTATAAGTGCCTTAATTGGGGTTATAAGTAATAGCAACTGTAGTTACTTTACTTATTACCCTGCTTACTAAGTCCCATGATCCTCCTTCTAGAACCCTTATAGATCCCTTTAAGGAACCCTATTATAGAACCCTATAGTACCCTTAAATGGAGCCCTAAGTCCCATGATCCTTTAAGTAGACGACTTCTATATAGCCCGTGCTTGGGAGTGCTCGGAGCGGCAGGGATCTCATGCAGATACTGGGGACCGGTGGCTTTCTCGAGGTTTGGGCTTTTCTTTTTTTTATAACGTATATTCTACTATAAGTTATATAATGTGAAATAAAATGGGAAATATGTATTGTTTAATAAGTAACATGCAAAGTACTCTTTTTAATGTGTACTGGATCGGGGGTTGGGGTTTAGGGTGCCTGCTCTTTTTGTGGAGTCGCAGTGCCAAGTCCTAAACCTTATATGAACTCAGAAGCCTTGACAAACACCCAAAACCCAGACCTCAACGACGCTCTTGTCCAAGTGTCCATCCCGACAACAAGAGAGGCCCCCCCCCCCCCCCTTGCCCTCCCCCGCCCAAAAAAAAGCTTGATAGTCTGAGCTTTGAGGCTATGGTGAAGACCAAGGGGGACACGATGAACTCGATGAACCCAATCTGCGATGTCGGTCCTTGGCATCTGCGAAACGAAAGTACTCGCATATACACCTAATGTATCTATACACACATATTACATCGCTATACAATATACACTGTCAACAATGTATGCACGTAGGCAGATGTGTAGGATTATGTGTCTGTGTGTGTGAACATGTATGCATGTACCTGTGTAACTATGCGCGTATGTGCGTGTGCAAGCTAAGACATGCATGCACACACAAGCCACAAATAGAAACATGTGCTTATATATACACACATACATACATGTACTTATGATATATTGTATTGTACGGTACATATGTATGTAATTACACATGCATGCACACACACATGCATATGTGTGCATGCATCTTGTGGATTATATCCGTATGCATATGTACATAAATATGTATATATATATATATATATACACATATATATATATATACATATATATATATGCACAGCGGTATACCTGTCTATCTATTTACCTGTGTATATATATATATGTATACACATCCATACAAATATCCTTCACATACATCTACAGCACATACGAGCCAGGTCACCTACGCTGCTCAAATATGCTGTCCCCACAGCCAACAGTATTAAAGTCGTCTACCTTTGGAAGGACTGCTTCAATGCCATGCCCTAACCTTCAACTCGAAAGGTATGAGAGCTCAGGAGCTTGGGAAGCTTGCCGTGGCGAGGAGCCGTCACCAAGAAAGTTACGACTTCGGACATTTGGTGTTCAGGGTCTTCTTTTTCCCGAATGCGCAGCAGAAGGCGTGTAAATACTCGCGCGGGTATCGGGCGCGCTACTGCATTCGGGTTCGTGGCCCCTATCAGGTTTTTATTCCTTGAGGCGTCTCGGACAAAACTAATGACACGAAGTAAAAGATCCTCATAGCAGGATCCCCTGCGAGACCCTGACACCTAAATACATAAACCCCTACTTGGGGGTTCATGGGACTTAGTAAGTACAGTTATAAGTACCCTAACTGAGGTTCTATCCAATTGTAGTTATAGTTACCTTATTTATAACCATAGTCACTAAGTCCCATGAACCTTTAAGTACATCCCGTACCCGAAACCCTAAACCCCTGAATCCCAAATCCGCATGAATCCCCCTAAACCCTAAACCCGCTTTCGAGCAAAGGGGCGGTTTGTCTTCTGCCGGTCGTTCAGGGCTGGCACTGGTAATCCGAGCCTGGACTTAGGGTTTAGGGTTTAGGGTTTAGGGGTTTAGGGTTTAGGGTTTGGGGTTTAGGGGTTTAGGGTTTAGGGTTTAGGGTTTAGGGCTTACGGTTTAGGGTTGAGGGTTTAGGGTTTAGGGCTTTAGGGGTTTAGGGTTTAGGGCTTAGGGTTTAGGGTTTAGGGCTTTAGGGGTTTAGGGTTTAGGGTTTTGTGGTTTAGGGCATAATTGGTTCCCTGTAAGTACCAGGTCCCAGAAAAGGGTATAAAAGTATGGTACTCCAAAGCCCAGGAGCTCGGTCATCTTCTCCCCCTGGACGAAGAACCTGGGTCTCGGGGTTTAGGGCTTAGGGTTTAGATTTAGGGTTTGGGGTTTAGGGCTTAGGGTTAGTGAGGGTCTACCTGGGCCCCAAATTGGCCCAAAGAGCCTACCTTTGTCAGGACTTATATCTGAACTCTACAAAATGCTCCTTTTCAGGGTTATGGTTATATTTTCTGATAATATCAGAAAATATAGCCATAACCCCTGAAAAGGAGCATTTTGTAGAGTTCAGGTAGGGTTTATGGCTCGGGGTATAGCGCTGAAGGCTCAGGCTTTTGGGCTTCGGGTTTCGGGCCATGGGTTTAGGGTTCCCAGAGACTCCAATATCCATTAATTAAGGAATATTCCTTAAATCATATTAGGGATCCTGCTATAATTTAAGGAATATTCCTTAATTAAGGGATATTGGAGTCTCTGGGTTTGGGGGGGTTGGGGTTTAGGGGGTTTAGAGTTTAGGGTTTAGGGGTTTAGGGTTTAGGGGTTTCGGGTCGAGTTAGCGTTTAAAGTTTGGCGTTTAGGGTTTGGGATTAGTTTTTAAAGTTTAGAGTCTAGCTGTCCATTGGAGGCTTTAGGGCTTAGGGTTACGGGTTCAGGGCTTAGTCTAGAGTCTACTTGGAGGGTCGGGGGACTTAGTAACTGATTATTTTAGGGACTTATAAGTACCATAACCCCAATTAGGGTCCTTTTTAGGGTACTTATAAGTCTACTTACTACCTACTTACTAAGTCCCCCGACCCTCCAAGTAAGCAGTAGAAAAAGGTTTTGGCGGTTTTGGCCTGTAGGGTTTGGGGTTTAGGGGGTTTCGGTTTTGGGCCTTAGAGTTTAGGCTTAGGGTTTTGGGCTTTAGAGTATACCATTCTCATAACCGGGAATCATACTCAGAAGCCTGAGGAATGGAATTTGTAATAGTTCAGGCATGCCCTCGGCCACCAAATCCGAGGGCCAGGAAAAGAATTTACCTATAGTCTCCATTGTAGTTCCTGTTTGGGGTTACTTTTTAAGATCCCTAATATAGAATTGGTTAAACCAAACAAAGGAACTACAATGGAGACTATAGGTAGGCTTCAAGGGCGAAGACCCTGCCAGCATACGCAGAGTTAGTGCCAAACGAAGAGAGCATGTTTACATGACCTACAGTCCTACACCAGGAGACACCTTCCCAAGACATCCTTTAGGGTTTGGGATTACGGGGACAAGGGCTATGGACCATCTCAGAAAGCTACCTGCTAAGAAGGCCAGAAGTAAGGTTAAGAAGGGTACCCTTTAAGTGGTCTCCCTAATACGACCTAGGAAGAATGGATGCTTTGTATAGGATACCTGTACTACAACCCCTCAACGGCTACCTTTATAGGCAAGTGTCTCCTCCAGCACTAGAAGCGCCCATGGTCCTCAGAGATCTGCATTTCAACTGGAAACCCTCCCCCAGGTCGAACGCTTCGAGCGTGTTTAGGTGGTGGTCCCGGTTCAGGGTTGTGGTGTAGGGTTCAGGGCTGTAGAGGGTTCCTAGGTCTCGTTGGGCTCCGCTCAAGTCTCTTCGGTCTTAGTCGACGATCGCTTTGAGTTGGGGCCCCCGCACTGCATACACTTCTGGTAAGCCAAAACCAAAACCCTAGTCAGTATGAGCCTTCGTGCTCAACTAAGAGCATGCACCCCAGAACTGTCAGGAAACACCTTCCAGAACCCGAAACTCCGAAGCAGCAGCCTCACCTTATACTGCTGATGCTCTACTACGCAATTCATTGCACACCACCACCACCACCACCACCACCACCACCACCACCACCACCACCACCAGCTCCTCCTTCTCCTCCTCTACTACTGCAAAACATAGCTGCACGAGTACTAATGCTCGCACACCGGTGCTGTGGAAACCCGCTTAAAAAACAAAAAAACATGAGTCCGCTTATTCTAACTTTCTGTTCTTGGGAGCGTCTGACATGCTGCCTCTCGCCGAAGAGCCTGAACCTGCCTTACCCGTAGGCAGGGAATCGCCCTGCACACGATCTGGCTTTAGGGGCAACCGTAGCAAGGCATAGTCGGGGGGAGCTGAGCATCTGGGGCTCATCTGGGACTACAGATCTGGCATGGATTAGGTTCCGTGGGTTCCAGCAAGCTGCGGGCCACGGAGAAAGGCTTCATGGAGTTCGAGATGTCTGCAAAGTGGAGCAGCATGTTCCTGGAGGCGACTTTGGGATGAAGGGAGGCACTCCTTGTATGAAACGCCGACATGCTGATGCTTTGGATCTTCGAGGCACCGGGCTCCATGGGCCTTTGGGACGTTGGACTCAGGATATTGAAGAACCACAGTAGGGCTCGTGCAGACTATGGATGCCAGGGATATCTGCACTGAATATTTGCTGAGCACGCTCCTAGGCTTCTAGGCGCTTTGAAGCTTCCGTCTTGACTGACAACATGGGAGTTTCCGAAAATTAGGGGTGCCTTATCTTGGGGTCCTTACATTAAGGATCCTACTATTTAGAGTACTATATTATTAGAGTCCCCTATTTTCGGAAACCACCACACTCATGTCTCCCATGGTTCCGAGGTCGAGTGTTTCGCTGTTTTTGGGTCTCGGTACTGTGAACCCTAAACCTTAAACCGTGAAACCCCAAACTCTCAACCTTGAACTCAACATCGCACCGTCCAGGACCTGCCTGAGCGTGTCATGCGTCTCTTTCTCCGCGATGATCTCCAAGACTTCAGGTGAGGGCCATGACTCCTGGAGTCAAGGCCCTTAAAGTAGGATTCTTACACCGCTAAAGTGGGATTCTTAAGCCCTCAAAGTAGGGTTCGAAGGCCCTTAAAGTAGGATTCTTACACCCCTAAAGTAGGATTCTTGAGCCCTGAAAGTAGGGTTCTCAGGCCTTTAAAGTAGGATTCTGAAACCCTTACCAGCAGGATTCTTGAACCCTTTTTGGCAGGATTCTTGGACCCCTAAAGTAGGGCTCTTGAACCTTTAAAGCAGGATTCTTGAACCCTTGAAGCTGGATTCTTAAACCCTGAAAGTAGGATTCTTGCACAATCGAAGTACGGTTTTGGGGTTGAGGGTTGAGGGTTTCGACCACTATTGCTCTGGAAACTGCCAGCCATCTCTGGCGTGAGTGTATCACTAGTCACATGTAGCAATGACAGTACTGGTATGGTGTAACACTGGCTGCGAGAGTAATATGAATGACTGCTTCCCTTGGCATGACCATTGCCACATTGCTGTCAGTTCCGCCGTAACTAAGACGATGCGTCCTCATATGGGGGTTTCCGAAAATAGGCGACCCCAATATAGTACCCTAAAACGGTAGGATCCTTAAATCAGAACCCCCAAATAAGGTACCCCGAATTTTCGGAAACTCCCATATCAAGATCTCCAATAACGAGAGCCCCGGCAACTGAGAGCCCGGCGAAACGAAAAACAAAAACAGCAAGACGCCAAACCCTAATGCACCAAACCCTGAACTGAAAATCCTAACCCCTAATAGCCTAAGCCCATAGGCCCCATAGTAGCTCCTTTCTGGATTACCTTATAGAATTCTATATATGAACCCCAAAAAGGAACTACTTTGGGGCCTTAGGGCAAAGCCCATAGACCCTAAACCCCGAAACACTATACCCTGAATCCTAAAGCGGATTTTGCAAACTCTAACCCGACAGATCCTATGCTGCCACTTACACGGGCCAACACAAGTTTAACATGATCTTGGGGTTTAGGGTCCGCATTTAAGGTTGGGGGGGGTATTTTAGCTAGGAGAATATCATATGTGTCAGTGCAAACGGGCTGTAGCAGAATAGCATTACAATTGCTCCAACACCTGTGGATTCATGCGGGTGGGGAGATAAGAGATGTAGGTGCATGCGGGTGTATCGGCATAAGTTCACATGCACCTATCGGCCGATTGCATTCAGCTCTTTCTGTGTGTGTGTGTGCCTGTCTGTCTGCCTGTCTGTCCGTCGATCCGTCTACCTATATACGCAGAGGTATAGATAGACAGATAGATAGACGGATATACCGGTAGATGGATAGACAGAGAGATCGGTAGATAGATAGATGGATAGACACAGAGCGAGAGAGGGAGAGAGAGAGAGAGAGAGAGAGAGAGAGAGAGAGAGAGAGAGAGAGAGAGAGAGAGAGAGAGAGAGAGAGAGAGAGAGAGAGAGAGAGAGAGAGAGAGAGACAGAGAAACAGAGAGACAGAGAGACAGAGAGACAGAGAGACAGAGAGACACAGAGACAGAAAGACAGACAACCGGGCAGATAGTCAGATAAATAGGCTTATCTCCTTATACATGCATATGTACACATGTCAGTAACATGATCATGCAAGTAGTTCGATCTATCCTGGTGCTAAGTTTGAAGAACCCGAAAGCCTACAGGCTTGTTGCATTGCAGGTACATGAGCTACAAATAAGAACTGTAGGGATCAACACGATTCGGAATCAGGAATAGTAACCCCCTTTATCCTGCAACAAATCAATAACAGAATGTGTGCACATAGACAACCCACAAACCAACTCTAGCTAAGGAGGTCCATACATTATGATCGGCCCGTGAAGCAGAACCCTAAACCCTAAAGCCTAAACCGTAGGGTTTAGGGTTTAGGGCGCGCCTTGTGATCCTCAACCGAGCTGCACCTCGGAGGGCGAGGCTTTTGGGTTCAAGGCGTCGGTCTTACGTTGCGGTTGAGAGCTTATGAGCTTTAGGGGTTTAGGGTTTAGGGTTTAGGGTTTAGGGTTTAGGAACTACCAAAAACCTACTTGTTTCTAGAGTCCCTATAAATTTCATGCCGGGCCTCAATAACTACCAGGATCATCTTCTTTTCTGAAAAGGCCTGAAGCACTCGGATCCTGCTCATGTCAGGGTCTTCAGTCGGCAGAGTCCTTATTCCGGGATCCCTAAGCCCCAAACCCTAACTGCCCTACAACCTAAACCCCAAACCGGATGGTCCCTAAGCCCTATAAACCCTAAACTCATTTAACCCCCTAAACCCTAAACCCCTAAATCCTAAACCCTACACCCCTAAACCCTAGCCTAAACCCCAGAGCGGGATGTGCTCGAATCGCTTCGAGGCTCGAAGCGGTGTGTCCCGTTGCCTCTGAGGGCTCACGTATAGGCAACCCCAAAACGTTGGAAACCGGATTAAGGACAATTAGTGCTGGGGTTCCCCATACATGACTCTTAAGGATTGAGGCTACCCAGGGGCCCCAAAGTAGTTCCTTTTTGGGTAGTATAAGGAACTACTTTGGGGCCCCTGGGTATTGGGTTTCCAACTTTTGGGCCTCAACTCTAGAGGCCTCACTGACCCGTAAAAGCTGCGTTAGCGTTAAAACGCACGAAACCCGGAACATGAAGATCGACAGCCCCCCAAGAAACTAGTAAATCTAAACCCCGCAGACCCGAACCCTCAAAGATACACCCACGGCCGCGGTGGGGGGGGGTGGAAGGGTGTGGGGGTGGGGAGGGGTAGGGTAGTGGGGGGTGGGGGGGTGGAGGAGGAGATTAACCCGCTTTACAACCAGAATCCCTACTTTACGCCCACTTTGCAACCCGTCTACCCATGATTAAGACTTATTGGGATTTCATGAGTTTTTTACAACAAACCTACCTAGATTCCTAATAGTTTGTTGGGTCTTTGACCCCCTAAAGTGTTTTACGTGGCCTTCATCCGACCGTGGCTCTTAAGGATTGAGGCTACCCAGGGGCCCCAAAGTAGTTCCTTTTTGGGTAGTATAAGGAACTACTTTGGGGCCCCTGGGTATTGGGTTTCCAACTTTTGGGCCTCAACTCTAGAGGCCTCACTGACCCGTAAAAGCTGCGTTAGCGTTAAAACGCACGAAACCCGGAACATGAAGATCGACAGCCCCCCAAGAAACTAGTAAATCTAAACCCCGCAGACCCGAACCCTCAAAGATACACCCACGGCCGCGGTGGGGGGGGGTGGAAGGGTGTGGGGGTGGGGAGGGGTAGGGTAGTGGGGGGTGGGGGGGTGGAGGAGGAGATTAACCCGCTTTACAACCAGAATCCCTACTTTACGCCCACTTTGCAACCCGTCTACCCATGATTAAGACTTATTGGGATTTCATGAGTTTTTTACAACAAACCTACCTAGATTCCTAATAGTTTGTTGGGTCTTTGACCCCCTAAAGTGTTTTACGTGGCCTTCATCCGACCGTGGCCCCAAACTACTAAGATCTCGAACATCCCTAAAATTGCTTCGTCGCATGATATCTTTGATCTTTGTCGTCTGTGGGTGCTCCGCACTCCTAACCTTGCCTGTGGTGGGTTGGTGGGTTGGGTTTCTAAAAGTCATATTATCTTCATGATTCCCCACACACAAACAAATACATCATTTTTTGAAAGTACTTGTATGGCGTAAAACCGTAAATACAACATCAAATGTAATAAAATGTTCGGGTTCATGGATTGGCTTTAATATAAATATACATACATATACATATATATATATATATATATATATATAAACTAAAATGCATACCTGCGCTCTGGTGAGAAAAGAATCCGTTTCTAAAACTCATGTTTTCTTTCTGCTTTCCCCAATACACACACACTCGGTCCGAGTTTGCCTGCAGGGAGTGAGTTGGATACAGCTTGACGGCCGCAAGTGCGTAAAGTGCAAACCACTATGCAACAACACGCTCGCTGAGGTGAGCATCTAACCAGTATCATCGATACCAAACCCTCACGCATCTAAATATAGATATATATATATACATATATATATATGTACACACACATATCTATCGTGGTTTCGGGTTAAGAACGCCCACATTGCAACCAACATCACTTTCCAACCTGCATGGCTGCCGTAAAGAATGATGCTAGAGATTCTAGGCTTTGACGTTATCAGTTAATAGGGTTGTTAAGAAGCTTTCCCAACCGGTTGCAAAGTGGGGATTCCGGAAAGGCTCATGGGTTGTAAAGTGGGGGTTCTGGTTGTAAAGTGGGGATTCTGGTTGTAAAGCGGGGTACACGCGGTGGAGGAGTGGGGGTATATAGGAGGGTGGAAGGGTACCCTGAACACTAAACCCTATCCCCTGAAGCCTGCTCCCTGCTCTAGAACTCTGGAAATGTTAGAATTGAAGCTTAAACCCTGTAGGCCGCTACAAACTGAACCTATAACCCCTGATCACTAAACTGTAAACCGTAAAACCTGAGCCCTAACCCTGAATCCCGAAACCGAGATCATGGGACTCACAGACTGGGTAATGAGGCTTTAATGTAGCCCTGTGATGATGATGCGCCCGTTCTGTAATGAGTAGAACAATCAGGATCCGAAGATGAAGGCCCTTAAATGCGAAGGGATTTAGAAACCACGAATATACATTCAAAACCGATAATGCATAACAAGGTGGCTTGGAAAGGACGTTCGAGAAGACTTCGTCGTGGACTTCGTGAATCATCTGACACGCCTTGACCACCTCAGAGTTTGGGGGTTGAACAAAGCCCCAACACGTCGACTCGGAGTGTGAATGAAACTCTGAGTGCTCAGCTAAGCGAGGCGACAGAACCTATGTTGTGTGCATACATAAACTACCTACATACATGCGTACATACATAGATATAAATGTATACATACACAGACGAATGCATAACCATCGCTGTTGAGATGCCATGTTGTGCACCTGTGTATATACCCATGTATAGATAAATAGTTAGATAGATAGACGGATCGATAGATAGATGGGTCGACAGGTACAGATAAACACACACGCAGACATAAGTCATGTTCCTAGCAGCTTGCTTTGCTGCGACACCGCTTCTGCTGCCAGACTGTGTGCACTGGCAAAACGACTTTCCAAGCCCTGCGCATTGAAGTGGCAGCTGTTGTCCGTGTGCAAGATCGCCTGGAGCGGGGTACTCAACGGCTTTCAGCTTAGATACTGCCCCCTTACAGTAAGACTCTATAATAGGGCCCCTATTAACGTCCGAATATATATATATATATATATATATATGTATATATATATATACACACATTCTATATATATATATATATATATCTCTATATATATATATATATATATATATATATATATATTTATTTATTGTGAAAATCATTCAACTATTGCTGAGTGGGGGCCGTACCCAACTTTCAACCTTCCAAGCTGAAGCTGCCAACACAACCCTGAACCTCTGAGCCTTCATAGAACTTTTCAGGAAACCCGTAAAGGTCTATAAACCGTAAATTCATTTAACCCCCAAACCCGAAGAGAAACCTTCAAGGAACCCTAAAAGCATATAAACCATGATAAGCTTAAGCCTAAGCCCCGCAGCCCGTATAGAACCGGTACAGACCCAATGAAGGAACCCCTCGACGCCCTCACAGTACTCTTCTGGATGCATGCAGGACCCCTTCAACGGAACCCTGAGGGGCCTGTGGGAAAGCAGAAACAAAGCTCCACCTACGTGGTAAAGTGGTGTCGGCACACCTTACTCTGTGAAGCTTAGACCCCCAAACCCTAAAGAAAACCCTAAACCCCAAAACCCGAAGCCTTGTTCCGAAACCCCCAAATGCCACAAACCCGAAACCCGGCCTCAATACACATTTTGCGGACGTCCTTCCTCGGGCCGTCGGCCAGCTCCCCCCAAACGTTAGTGCTCGGGTCGCCCAGGATCTCCTGTGCTTCTGTTCGGTTTAGGGTTTAGGGTTTAGGGTTTAGAGTTTAGGGTTTAGGGTAGATCTCCTTTGCTTCTGTTCGTTCTCTTTGGGGGTTTCGGGTTTCGAGTCTGCCTTAACCTTGAATAGCCTACCTTTTTAGGGTTCCTTATTATGATTTCTTTATAGAAACCCTCAAAAGTGTAGGGGTTTCGGGTTTCGGGTCTGGGGTTTACTTAGTTGCTGAGTTCATAAACCCCGAAAAAGTGTACACTTGTGGTTTTTTGTGGGTAATATTATCCAAAAACGTGTAACTTGTACCCACTCAGCTACTAGGTTTAGGGGGCTTAGACTGGTTTACAATATAGTATCGGGCTTTGAGGGGTTTAGGGGTGGAAGGGTTTCTTGTCGTTCCTTTTGGAAGGTTTCGGTTTTGGGGGTTTGGTGTTGAGAGTGCTGTAGGGTGTAGGGGTTCAAGCGCTTCGTTTTTAAACGCTCCTGGAAGGGTTCTGTAAGATTCCAGAGACGGCTTCAGGGTTGGAGGAGTTTGGAACTTACTGCTCTTTTGGGCGAAACCTTGTAAAAGGCAAGACACGGGGGAGTGAACCCAGATGCTGCTTGGAGCGTTTTGATCTGGTGACTGAAGCCCTACATGCCTACAAACCCTAAACCCCTCAACCCAAAAACCCGTAACCCTCAACCTTTGAGATCCAGCTCTTTCGAAGATCTGGATGGCTAGAAGGCTGCATAAGGCTCGAGACTCTAGAAGGGCCTTTTTGGAGGGTCTACGAGTACAAGGGAGCAAGCCCCAATGCAAGCACGCGGCGAAGAGCTTCGCACAATGCATGCTCTCCAGAGGTGCATTGTCGTTGTATCGCAGTGCCAGGTCGTGATGTGTCTGGACGAGAAACCTCATAGTTTCGGGTATTCGTGTTTAGGGGTTTATAGGGTTTGGGCTTCTGTGTTTTAGCTTTTGGGGAAAAAGTTTGTTTTTGGAATCGACGCTTTAAAAGTAGGAACTAGAGCTTTAGGGTTTTGGGGGATTGTAGGGTTTCGGTTTCCGGGTTTGGGTTGCAATGTCTGGAGGAACCTCGGGTGCACATGAGTCGTCTGCCTTTCTTGTAGACCTCCGGAAGCTCTGCCCCGGGGCCCCAAAGTAGTTCCTTTTTGGGTAGTATATTAGAGTCCCTAACCAAAAAAGAGGACACACCCAAAAAGGAACTACTTTGGGGCGCCTGGGTACTATTAGAATCCCGATGATAACCGCCAAGGATGACAAAGGGTTTGCGACCGGTGGTCGACACTACTGTAACCCGTGGTGGTTCATGTTGTTGCTTCTTCTGGGCCCGCCTTCTCACTCCCTACCTATAGTCTCCATTGCGGTTCCTTGTTTTGGTTAACCAGCTTTATGGTTAGGATCTTATAGAGATTTGGGTTAACCAAACAAAGGAACTACAATTGAGACTATAGGTAAACTCTAAACCGCTACCCGACATGACGTCATTTGGGTCTAATGCCAGGACGTTTAGGGCTTTTGGGTACTTGGGATTAGGGTTAAAGGTGGATTACCGGACAATTGATCCTCGAGTTGGGCGCTTCCTAAGCGCTACTGCCTGCTAAAGTGTGTAGTATAGGGGCCTAGAAAATACCGTTAACTTCGGGGTTCCTTGTTGTAGTTTAAGAATGATATACCCCGAAACCCCTATTCTGATTGTTAAGGCCTCTGCATTTGTCTCAACGCATGTCGACCCTACAAACGTGCAGCCGAAGACACATACTGTACAAACACAACACAAGGGCAAGCCTGTAGGGCCTATGTTTAGGTACCAGAAACAATACGGCACCCTTTGAGGGTGCCTTAAAAGCGACCCGACTTCAGACGGTGGACCGTCCTAGAACAAATCCCACACCTCCAGACCCTTACACACCGGAATAGGCCGTAGACCCAATAATGTAGGAGCCTGTTTAAGAAACCCGGCCCTATAACCCCCAAAATAGTAGGATTCATATAAGAAACCCGAATAAGGGCCCAAGGTCGCTTAATCAGGTTCCTACACTACACAAGCCCCGAGCGAACCTCGCCAGGACACTCGTTGCTGAAGCCCGGATGCCCGATGTCGTGAACGACGGCACAAATCAACAAAGCATACCTCCAGGGTTTAGGGTTTAGGGCCCGCCGGGGGTTCTGCTTGTGCAGGAATGGAGGGGTCAGACTCGAATCTGCAACGGAGGCATGATATGAGAAGGGCACCATATAGGGGAACACTCCCATCTTCTTAGTCCTTGGTATGCACGAAAAAACACTAAAAGTGGTTTGAATTGAAATTTCATCAGACAGGATTCCCTGCACGGCATGTCCTCATCGCCATGTCAATGTGGGTTGTGGTACAGGCTAAGACGGTAGTCGCCCCGGCGCCCCTGCGATTCTCACCTGATTCTCGCATTAGGACTCTTTGCAAACGCAAGGAAAGAGTGATAGATATGTGGGAACATTTTGCCCTGTCGCGGTGAATTGACCATTGGTTTTTAGTTGCCGTGTATACACAAGCGACATGTTCTTTGCAGTGGTGGTGGGTGGGTGTTGAGGCAGAGGGTGCGTTTTCGCTCCAGGATCGTTTTCGCTGGCAGCTATACGGGAATTCCGATTTGAAGGGTGCGGTTCTCTGAACCCCAACTTGACGGGTGCTTTCCGACAAACCATTGAGCACGGTATTGCTACAACTCCACTTCACAAGGTACCATTTTGCGGGAAACTTGAAGGGAAGCAAGCACAATTTGCAAGGTCCTGTTGTGCGAGAAGCTACGTGGACTGCGATTCGCAGGTTGCGTGGCAGGCAGGCCGTACACTCTACAATCTGGGGAGCAGGAAGTGCGTTTGCTCTTGTTGTCGTTGTGGGAGCATGGATTGTGTGCTGTTTGCTGTCGTCGGGGAAGAAAAGGGGGGGGAAAGGTGGGGGGCTCTGTTTCTGTCGTGGCCCGGACTGGTGCACCAAGAACAAAGCAAGAGAGCTGCTAGGAACCTGACGGGTCTCACAACCGACTTCAACAAGACACTGAGTATCCTTATACCGCCATCGCCAGCCCACCTCTCCGTCCTCGAGAATGCTTCATGCAAGTCCTGAAGGATCACGTAGACCTCAATGTATTCAGAAGGGTCTTCGGCTTTTGGGTGGTTAAGGCTTAGGGCTCAAGGCTTTACGGCTCTCGGGGTCATTTTCGGGATTCAGCTTTCCAGAAGGATGGGCTGGGGCGCGCGGCTGAGAATAACGTGTACACTATCGGGTTCTTCCTATCCATTGTCAACAGGTTTCGGGGGTAAAGGACTTTTTGGGGGTGGTTGTCAAAATTGAAGTCCTTTTTTGGGTCCCTATTAAAATACGGCACCTATTGTTTAGGGTAGTACCCAAAAAGGGACCTTCATTTTGACAACTACCCATGACATGAACCTAAACCCTAAACCCTAAAACCCTTTAGATCCCTTAGAGGAACCCTTATAGATCCCTTTAACGGAACCCAAGTTCTACCCATGGGTACGTTGCAGTAGTAGTACCACACGATCAGACCGTGGAGGCAGCAACGGTTGCGAGTCCGCGGGAAAGCCATGACCGCACAGGGTTTGGGGTTTAGGGTTTAGGGTATAGGGTTTAGGGTTTAGGCCCTGAAGTCGACGTAGTAACATACAGGACCGACGGACTAGGCCTCATCTAGTTGACCTGCTGAGTCATGGCTCATCGCGAACCTGTGGCGGTCCTCTTGATGCGAGAACGGCATAACTTTCCATGAACTACGTATAGCGCTCATGAGACCGAAACTCCTGAATCTGAGCCAAGGGAAAGCCCCGATGCATGCCGGGCGGCTGAATGCATAACGTCCACAGCATGGCTCCAGCTGTGATACCTGATGAGCTTCACAACAGGAATACTAATACCAATACTTATGCATAGTGAAACTATCTTCTACTGCTACTACTACTACTACTACTACTGCTACTACTACTGCTACTACTACTACTACTACAACTACAACTACAACAACAACTACTACTACTACTACTACAACTACTACAACTACTACAACTACTACACTACTACTACTACTACTACTACTACTACTACTACTACTACTACTACTACTACTACTACTACTACTACTACTACTACTACTACTACTACTACTACTACTACTACTACTACTACTACTACTACTACTACTACTACTACTACTACTACTACTAAAAAAAAAAAAAGCTTCGGGCTTCTACGAAGAATGCAAAAAACTTACACCAATAAGGCAACGACTCCGAAAACGACCTACGGGAAGCTCAAATGGAGATGCGCGAGATACTTGGAATCTGTTCTACAACATGTTTATAACTGCCCTGCAGAATTTGGTCACGACGCAGAATTAGGTCTGCACAAGAAAGCACCAGTCGTCGTCAACATCGTCGTCGCCGTCGTAGTCGTAGCGGTAGGAGTCGCCGTCGTCGCGGTGGAAGGAGTACTAAAATAACTTACACTGAAGCCCTACCCTTAAACCCCCTAAAGCCCTAACCCCACACACGCGCGTATCTGGCCATGTGCTTTTCCTCACTTTTCCTCACATTTTGTGCAGTTGTCTCATAATTGCGCCTGTCAGGACACACAGGGGGGAGTGGGGGAGGGGGGTGGGGGGGGGGGGAGGGGGTGGGGGGGGGGGCTGATAGCGTCCGGTTTGATTTCAGTCCCCGCAGCTTCTGCGAGACACCGCAAAAGCTCAGTGGCAATGTGGAGGGTGACGGACATGCTGTTCGAAAGATCTATGTGAGCAATGCCAAGAATGAAGAAAACTGGTTGCCGCAGTTAGATGACGCACGCAAGCGCTGGGCATCGAAGCATGGAGCTGCCAGCATGCCCAAGTACTGGATCGGTCATATCCGTTTGGCCGGATTCAAGCAGCGGGATGGTTGCGGAGTTGCAAAGCTTCTGCCAGTCAAGCTCATGCCACCCGGAAGCGGTCCGCCCCCAGAAAGTGCAGCCGAGGTTGGCCCGACAGGTCTTTTCAAGCACATCGATGTCACGTGTGTTCGTACAGCCGTACACTCAGATGGGGCCCGGTGTTGGCCGAACCTCGTCAAAAGTTTGCAGACGAAGAACGTCCAGAGCTACAATGTCAAGCATAACAAGCACGAGTTCACCAAGAAGATCCATCTCAAGGATGGACGTACAATCTTGGCAGGCACGCAGTGTGTTGACCGTTGGTGGCAGTCTTTGGACAGATATGTACCATGCACTGTCAAGAGTAAGCAAGATGGCACGGTGAGTGTGCGCTTACTGGAGTATGTGTACAGCTTTGTCTGGCGTTGCCAACTGAGTAACAAAGCCGACTTCGCCACGCACTTGAGCCGAGTGTGCTGAAAGGCGTGCCCTAGCTTTTAGGTACCCGAATGTAGCCTCCAGACATAAACCCCAGTCTTGACTCCAAGCTACAAAAGTCCTGCAAATACCAGTACTTTCGAAAGCAAGTCCAACTAGAGATGCCGCAAAACCACGCGGCCAAATATCAACGTGTGACCCCCTAACCCCCTAAAGCCAAAACTGAACCGGGGCATCCTCCTTCGTCCTCAAGCCCCAAACCCAGGTGCAGCCGAGAGGCGGTACCTTCAAGTAGCCCTCTTCGACGGTTGCAATGAAGGCTGAGATTTCCTGTTCAGCTCCCGGTCTTGTACTAGACCTAAGAGCAACCTAGGAATAAAACGGGTGCCCTTTGTTTCAAGGGGGCTATAAGGCAAGCTATACACGTTTGACAGAGGCTCTGAAGGATTTCGAGAGTTTCGTTATGGAGCTAAGGGGGTTCCGATGGGCGATCGCGTACCGAGTCTTCATACTAAAGATCCGATTACTTGTAGCCTAGGGTTTAGAGTTCTGTGGTCCCGTACTAGATTCCCCGTATTTTCTGAAACTTCCACGCATTCTCTTGCGCGACAATATAACATGAAGGTTTCTCGAGTTCAGGACTACTTGGAGGTTCATGGGTAGGTATAAATGGAGTTAGAAGTCCCCTAAAATGGGTTATAGCTATAGCTACCCTACCCATAACCCCACTTATAGCTACCCATGAACCTCCAAGTAGGCACGCAGGACTTGGTGACGTGTTTAAGCTTGGAGGCTTCAACAGTGGGGTATCGAGAGCCCGAGGCCACTAATGTAGAGTTCCTTTAAAGGGTTCCTTAGAGGAGTCTACAAGGGATCTATAGGGGATCTATGATATAGGGGCCTTAATAATTAGAAAAGGGCTTGGTGGTATATTATACGATAATCATAGTAAGGAATCTCCAAAATAGTAAAGGTAAGTATTTAGGCCCCTACATTAGCTACGTTGCAACAGCTGATAGGCTGAAGTCTCGGTCAACAGGCCCACCGGTTGCGCGGCACAGGGACAACCCAGTTGAAAAACCTTTGCAGAACCCATGAAACCCTCTGAGTAAGCCTTACATTTTCTAAATCCCTATTCAGGACCGCGAAAAATACGATAACAAACTTATCAACCTCTACTCAAGACCCAATACTGTGAATAAAGCCCCCCTTCGACGCCCTGGCCTGTATACCCCCTATGAAACCCGTAGTCACGAACGACTGGGCCGCTGACGGTCTCCGTGACACCCTTCTCTTTAATGGAGCTTGGCATGCAGGTGGACAGCAACTTTGCACAAACCTTGGGTTCAGTATTTGCGGCTTAGGGTTTAGGCTTCTCCTTATCTTCATGTGCCCCCAGAAGCTCAGATGCCTTTGAAGTAGGTTTCTGTCCGCACGTAACCATAGTACAGCACACTAGACAGAATCCTGGGAACTGGGCCTGGAGTGAGTGTTCATGAATGACGTTACACCGGATCTGGAGTAGTGAGGTGGGCTCTAGGGTTTAGGGCTTGTGGGGTTTAGTAACCCTGATGTGCAGCCTGGCTTCTAAATCCGAACCCGGAATCCCGCAACCTCATCAACATCATCATTTTCTTCTGCTTCTTCTTCGTAGTCTTCATCATCCGCAGCAGCAGCAGCAGCAGCAGCAGCAGCAGCAGCAGCAGCAGCCCCAGCAGCCCCAATGCGTAATCCTGATCATTGTTATCATCCGCCCGGCCTTGGCATCTTCACCAGCATCAGCATCGCCACAACTGACGGGAAGCAGCCGCCGTAATACTGCAGAATCGCTTATACTAGGAAAACGTGAGAGTCACAATCCGAGGAACGAAGCAGGTCGTGTTTGATTCCATGTCGAGCGGATTGAACCTGCGCAGTTGGCTGGAAAGCTCCAGTGCTACAAGACTAATAGTCTACCACATTAGTTTGGGGCCTTGACCCGTAAGTACATACGTGAAGCACCGAGCTGTGCGTAAGCTTTCTATCTCAAGCCGTGGATGTAGGCCTGCTCTCATTGTCCAGCAACGCTCAAACTCCTGTTAAGCCCGGAAGCTCGAAATCGATGGGCACTTGGAAGGGGAAAGCTTGAACGGCTGGGGAGGACGATGCTTACTGAGCTGTAGAAAGAACTGAAGGATGGATGGCTTTATCACGGAAGGTTGCTTTGACACTAAATGTGCATACTTATGAGATTGTCTGTGGATGCAGCTACCAAGGTCTGCTCCATCTGCCTACTTATCGGCTGGGAATACTCTAATACCTCAAACCTCAAACTTCAACCTACCCTTTTAAGTGACATAACATAACATAGCAAAGCAAAACGTAACGTAGCATAACACACCATAACCGTACCCTAAACCGTGTATCCGCCTCCAGCTTGTCAGATTCTCGACCTGGCCAGGGTGCATGCAGTTCTACCTTGCTCCAAGAATGAAAGGTTGCAGCTCAGGTCGCAGTACTCACTCTCACAGATCCTTTAAGGCCTCCTTTCAGAGATCCTTTAAAGGTTCCCTCATGAGCTCGATGAAGGTTCCCCTTCAGCTTTACTGTGAGGGTTCTGCTAGGGTTTCGGCCAAAGCGTTATTAGGGTACTAAAGGGTCCAGCAACCACGAACGAACTAAACCTCAAGGAACTTGCCCTAGTCAGCTTGGTGTAATGTTGCAGAAATGGGGCACATACCACTGGAGAAAGCAGACTTTCACAACAGCTTTTCAAAATCTGGCCCTAAACTCCTGAAACCCTGCACACTCTAAACCCCTGTTGCCCTTGAAGCCCCAAAACCCTTTCGAAACCGTAAGGAGCCATGTACCCACAAAGTATATACTTTGGCCCAACCGTATCGAAAAAGAATCTGGACCCTTAGGGATTATCGTTGGCACGCCTAAGCCCTGAATCCCTAAACCCCAAACACCCTAAAACCATAAACAACTGAAGCCTAAAACCTAAACTCTCAACTCAACTATATACCCTGGGGGGGACCCCGACCTTACGGGCGGAGGATGTTGGAACCTAGTAGATTACTTAAAAACCTATAGTCTCCATTGTAGTTCCTTTTTTGGTTAACCAGTTTTATGGTTAGGATCCTATAATAGAGATTGCCCAAAAAAAAGGAACTACGATGGAGACTGTAGGAATCCCCTGAAGCCCTAAACCTAAGCTGGCCTCCAGGTTCGTCAGGTCTTGCAGGACGACCGTCTGCAAACGTGTTTGGATCATCTCCCTTTGCAGGACGAAGGCTCATGGGGTTTAGAGTTTAGGGATTAGGGCTTGGAGTTTTGGGATTAGGATGCAGAAGTTGCGAGGGCGCGGGCTTCAGGGTTGTAGGTTTCAAAATGAGGGTTTAGGGTTTAAGGGCAGTTGCCAGACAGCTAGCTGAGAAATCTGAGGATCCATGTACCCATAGTACACATTAAAGCTCGGCCCTACACTACACGGTCAGCCAAGGAACACCTCTTAAGGTTAAGGACATATGAAACAACTATCCCCTAAACCCTACAGACCGTTAGAGTAACCTCAAGATGTTGGTTCGGGTGACCTGCTTCAGGCGGCCAGGCAGCAAGTTATACACAAGAGGCTGAATGAAACATGAGCTTGCTTTTTCTGATGTTCTCAGAAGCAGAAGAGATTGCTTTTGCAGAATATGGAGGTTGGTGGGGGGTTTGGATTTGGTTCAAGCGAGGGCTTGAGGGCATTTGCTGACCTGAAGCCGTGGAGCCTTGAGAACCGAAGGAGCATCAATTGCATGAGCTGAACCTCTGAGAGAAGCACATGTCTAGTCGGTTTAGGGTTTAGGGGGTTTAGGGTTTAGTGCCTACTGACCAGTGGAGACGTCCCAGCAAAAAAAACTTTACGTTTGCTGAGCATTGAAACTTTATGCAAAACACGCTGGGTCTTTCCCAGGTTGGGACACGAAATGGGGCCTCATCCAAGACTCCAGTCAATTCACGGGATTAGGTTTTCATGCTTTTTTGCCCAGGCTTTTGGTTGAAAGGCCCAGCCTGTGTTGCATCGTCAGCGTGGTGCTGGGTCTGACCTCACCCCCGGCGCTCGTGCCCAGGAAGACGACGGCCTGCATCAGGCTGCGTCCAGGCATCCCGAAACCCGAAACAGAAGAAACGTTATGAAAGGGCTTCTAGAGCGAAAAATGAGTTCGGAGGCGCAAGCTCGAAGATGTTCCTTGCTTGGGTCGAGGTTCCTTCGGTGTTATATTCAACCTCGAGGTAGAAGACATCAAACCTTACAGGAAGAGGCTGTCGCCGACAAAGATTCCTCAGAAAACACCAGATGTCGTTTTCCTCATCATCAGGTTCGAAGGCCGGTGTGATATTCTGAATCTTCTGGTGCACTCGGTGCACGTCGGAGACTGTGCAGTACAGCTGAAAGCTGCAAAGACTGCAAAGCTGCAAGATTTGTATTTGCAAGGCCGGGGCCAGGACTCACAATCTGCTGAGGGTTTTGGGTTCAGGTTAAATCTCGCGTGGGCAAGCCCGAGAAACCTATAATGCCCAATAACCTTAAATCCAATCCCTAAGTCATCCCCACACGGACAACAATAACTACACTAAACCCCAACCCAAAAACCTAAAAATCTCGTCTGAAAGATCGCCCCAGCACCACACAACCTACAACAAACCAAAAAACCTATAGAGAGCCCGTAACGGAACGCCTAAAGCCACCTTAAGCGAACCTCAACCCCAAATAGAAGGGTCTCAGGGATTCGAAGATGGTTTTGCGTTTTAGTACCCAATAACTATTATGGTAAGGAAACCGTAAGGAACACTAAACCCTAAACTTTAAGGAACACTGCTACTGAATGCTTCCTACCCCTGCATCAAAGGAGTCGCCTGGGCATCCTCGTCCGGACGAATGAGCCTGCTCGATCAACTTTGGGATGGCTACGGCCGAAGGTTTTGAAGATGAAGGATTGTCGCTTTACCCAAAACCCATGGGTTTAGAATTAGGGCTACGGGTGAGCATGTTCTGATTGCGACCCACAAGTTGGCTTCGCAGCGGCTTTAGGGCCTCATGCGTGTACATAAGATTTCAGCTTCAGGACATGTTGCATGAAGACCGCATGTTTCCGAAGCAGCCCGGAGGCTCTCAAGCAGAACTACATCCTCGTCGTCTAGAGGCAGTTCAACGCCCTGGCTTCCTTACTTAGGCTATGACTCATTCAATGAGTTCGCCGCAAATGCCTCGGGGAAGAATACTCGTTCGAGAACTCGAATATGTACCCTGAACCCTAGGCCCGCGCTTGTGCTTCACCGCATCCGATGTAATGAGGTAGCAAACCATCGTAGCAGAAACTTCGATACTACCAGTACGGTTCAGGGCCTGGTCAAAACACCATGGAGAATCCCTATAAGGCTCCTGACCATAGTACTCAATCCGTGACGTGGCAGCTCGGGACCGCAACCCGCCGAAGTGAGGGTTTTGGGTTTTGGGCATGAGGAGTAGGATATAGGCTTTACCCGAGGGCCCCAAAGTGGTTCCTGGTAGTATATTAGAGTCCCTAACCAAAAAAGAGGACACACCCAAAAAGGAACTACTTTGGGGCCCCTGGGTAGGCTTTAGGGATGAGGGTATTGGCAAAAGGATTAGGATTTGTAAGGGTATCATGGCATTTAGGGCTCAGGAAGCTACGCAAAGCGCACTTGTGCTGGCAAAGTGGCTTCAAAGCCCCTAAACCCTAAACCCCTAAACCCTAAACCCCTAAACCCTAAACCCCTCAACCCTAAACCCTGCTGGCAAAGCGGCTTCAAAGCGCTGAGCAGGCTTATCCTGCTCATCACCTCCTTCAGCAGCACCTTCAGGGCTACTACGGTTGATGATATAAATCCGGGGGCTCCCTGAAAGGGATCCATAAGGGTACCTTTAAGGGGTTCCTTTAAGGGATCTATAGGGGGTTTGGGGTTTAGGGATATAAATCCTGCATGACCCATTATAAGGAATATACCATAACTCCCATAGTTTGGAGTTCTTAGGGTCATGCAGGATTTTGTCCATCAGCCGTATCAGGGCTTAGGAAGCCTGGTCCCATATCCGCCGAGGCCAGAGGCCCAGGCGTCTTGGGGTTATCTCAGGTACCTCCAAATCTTTCAGAACACCCGCTTTTTGCGTTCGTTTGCCACTCATTTTACCTGATTTATCGGCCTCCCCCCCCTCCCAGGCCTCCCGCCCCTTCTCCCTTCCCCCCCTCCCCCCTTCGCCCCCCCCTCTCCCCCTCCCCCCCCTCCCCCCCTCCCCCGCCCTCCCCCCTCCCCCCCCCTTGTACCCGTTCTCCTCGCACTTCGTAGGGTTTGACAGGCCGCCCTAGCATAAAAAAACATCGACGGGCCCTCGCCCTGCCGCTACACAGCCGAGGCGGGCGGCGTAGCGTTAAAATTATAACAATACACTGTAAAATGGTACCCTTACAGTGATACTAATGATAAGGGTCCCTTGTGCAGGGGTACTACGGCTGATGGACAAAATCCTGCATGACCCATTATAAGTAATATACCATAATTCCCATAGTTTAGAGTCCTTAGGGTCATGCAGGATTTTGTCCATCAGCCGTATCAGGGCTTAGGAAGCCTGGTCCCATATTAATAATACACTGTAAAAAGGGACCCTTACAGCAGTACTGATAATAAGGGTCCATGTTTAAAGGGCATTATCATCTTATAAGGGTATTATCGCTTTTAAAGGGCATTATCACCTTAAAAGGGTCTTTTAGCAGGCAGAATTCGGACTGAGAAGATCCTTCCAGGAAACCCTGGAACCATGGAGTGGGAATGACTACCAAACCGCAAGGCTTAGGAGTTTAGGGATTAGGGTTTAGGGGTTCAGGGTTTAAGGGTTTATGGGGGTATAGGGTTTTTAGGGTTTAGGGTTTGCGGTACCCTGTGGATCCCAAAACCTACCGTTTTAAGAGCTCTACCCTCTAGTCGATTTGGGGTCATCGCTATGCTTTGGCTGAAAAGTCGTCCCTACTACATGGCTACTTTAGGGCCAGTGTTGCATGCAGTGCCCGAGACTCTTCGAGACGTTTGGGGCGCAAGGTGTCATAGTTTTCTGACTGAGCTGTCAGTCACTGCAGTTGTTCTGCCTTCGTCGCTATAGTTCAGAGAGACAGCGTGCTGGCATGCCGCAACAAACAGCCACATGCTTTTCGCAGGTACTGTATCGGGGCGAGTCTCACATACGATGGGGATGCTGGTGCGACTACAGGTCAGGCTTGTACAGACATGATCCCCTGAAACACAGCGAACTGAACACTTGTCAATCAACAAATCCCGAAGCACTAAATCCGGAGCCCCGAGCCCAAAACCCTAACCCTAACCCAAGAATCCATAGCCTTTTATCGAACCTAGACCATAGAAGCAACCACAGACTTTGACATGATCAGAACAGGAGACTTGAATGTAATATGGGGCTCTTAAGATTGCTCTACACATCTTACTGTACGGGATTTGGTATCGGGGGCCTCAGTATTCAGTATAGAAACTCGCTTAGGCCCCTAAATGAAGGTCGCAGCAACTTGACTATGATTTCGATTCTTGGGTATGTAGCACTACACCTTTAGTTAATTACGATTCTGGGACGAATTCCGGAGGCCCAGACCGAGGCTCCTACATCGCGCTCAAACCCGCCGAGCTGCTGTTTCGTCTCCTTGTTCGTCCTGTTGCTTTTTCCGTGCGTCTTGCTGGGCGTTACCTCAATGTATCATGACAGCTGGAACCGATGCCTTCAGACTACCTATGAGCCCGTGAACACCCATTCCCAGCAGGAGTGATGCTCTGACTCCTTGCTTATGCGGCATGTATGCCTGCTGATTTTGTCGGACTAGGCTGAATGCCTTGTGGGTCGTAGGACCCTGTTTGTAAGAGTGTGGGCGGTGCGGACTATGTCCTGACAACTCTGCAAGCGCTTCTGCGCACGTATACGTATATGTACAGATGTACATACACATGCATACATGTGTATACATGTATGCATGTGTATGCGTATATATATATACACACATATACCATATAAATATTGATATACACATACATACACGCACACTCATGTATGCATGTGCGTATGCATGTATGCATGCATGCATGCATGCATGTATGTATGTATGCATGCACGATTGTACGTGCGTATGCCATGTATGTATGCTTGTGACAGTTTGCTTGTATGTTTGCATGCTTGCATATGCATGTATGTATGTATGTATGCATATGTATGTATATATATATATATATATATATATATATAGTATACAGATGTGAAGGGCTTCCATGGGTTTTCGGCGTGCGATTCTCCTGCAAACACTTAGAGTCTACGTCTTCGCCCTCTCGAGACATCTGCTGCTGGGAAGAATGCAAAGCAACAGAAAGCCCTGGTTTGGGGCTTAGGGTTTCAGGGCATTTGGGGTAAGGATAGGGTTTCTGGTTGGGGTTTCGGCTTTAGGGTTTAGGGCCTCTAGGGTTAAGAATTGCAGGTTGTAGGGTTTCATGATGTTTGGGTACTGTCGAGCATTTTGAGGGTGAGCTTTTTCGGTTTAAGTTTGAGATTCACTTTGAGTGCACACCTGCGGGACGTCCTTGAAGTTGAGCTTAGCGGGTGATTCTTGGGTTTCGGGTTTGGGTGGCACAGTGCTGCTCCACTTCCACTGTCCAGAATAAGAGGCAGGTCAAGGGTCACAGAAAGGGGGAACCGCGAAAGTGTGAAGCGCCAAGCGGAAGCCCTGGCAGACAGCGAGACAAGCGACTAAGCAGCGTGTGGATGGACTCCACCTGCAACCAGATCAGCCGCCCGATCTTCCTGGGTTCATGAGGGATGATGGTGTAGGGGTTTGGGGCTTTGGGGTATATTATACTATAGTGAGGAAATCCCCCAAACTAGTATAGGTCTTTTTTTACGGTTTAGGGTTTAATTAAGGTGTAGGGTTTGGGGCTTGAAGGGTTTAGGGGCTTAGGGTCAAGTGGCGCCAAATTCACGGAGGGCGACAAGTTCTTGCTTCCGAAGCTACATGTAAAATGTGGAATTACCGGTTCTTCGTCCCGTCGAGTATGCGACACCTCTTGGATATCTATACCCTAGGACTGCAGGGGCCGTAGTACATAGGCTCAGACGGAGGTTTGGAGTAGGGTATAGTGCAACTAGACGGAGGGACCCGAATGAATATAATACACCAATATTCCGGTTTTGGGGTTCATGGTTGAAGGTGCCAATACTGCTCTGCAGGATAAAAAACAAAGAAATAAATCACACCATGTTGATAATGCTAGGGTGAAGCAGTGTTAAAAATACCACGTTACCAACACTAACTTACTCGAAACAGGGAGGGTGTCCTGCAGTGTCATCACTTAACTCTTCAAGCTCGACGCAGAATTGACAATGACCTTCTAAACCAGTTGATCCTAGACCCAGAACCCTACACTAGAACCTAAGCCATGAGAAGGCACGGGGCATGAGAAGGCAAGGGGTATAGGGTTCGTAATTTTCGGATTCCTGGGTGTAAGCTGGGAAACTGGATCAAGCCAGTGCTCCAAAGGGGGGGTTTGGGGCCTACCATAAGCGTACGGATGCGAGAATGGCGGCTTGATCTAGGGGCCTGGATACTTCTACGACATGATTCCCGAATACTCCCTTCTATAGTCATTCGGAGGCACGTCTAAGCCCTTGTAGAAAGCAATCCTTACGGAACCCCGTAAAGGAACTTTTTCAATTTAGCTAATTCCAGATGCGCTTGCGGACAAGCCAATCCTAAGCCCTCAACCCCTTAACTCCTCAAAAGCCCTCAACCGCACAACTCCTCAACTGCCCCCCACCCAGAGACTCCAAGATCCCTCAATTAGGGAATATACCTTATAAATCGCATCAGGGATTTAAGGTATACCTCTTAACCCTGAATAACCTACCATTTTAGGGTTCCTTGTTATGATTTCTTTATATAAGGCCTTAAAAATGTAGGTTCTTCGGGGTTAAGGTATTTCTTACCTTAAGGGCTACTGGAGTCTCTGGGCAACCGGAAACCCTGATGCGGCGCCTGACTTTCAGGAGCATCGTCTCCAGTGGCGCGAGCGCATGTCGCGCGATCGCGCGGGAGATCAAGAGCGAGAAAAGCACCATCCTCAGTCTGTCACCGATATGGGTGGTTGTCAATATGAGGGTCCTTTTTTGGGTCCTTATTATAATATTTAAGGTACCCAAAAATGACCATATTTTTGACAACCACCCATATGTCTCGAAATAGTCATAAGAGTCATTATCAGAAGAATGGTGCTACGAATCATAATTCAGAGTAATGTTATCCGCCTAAGCTTCGGTGTCTAGATCTAGTACCTATACCCGAACCCTCACCCGCCATCCACCCCACGAAACCTAAACATGGGAGAATGCAGAAAGCCAACCTGCCTTTGTCGGTCTGCATAGCATGCTCCTTAAACCCTCAACCGTGCATACTTGGAACTTCCGCTTCTTGGAGTCCGCGACTAGTGTGGGCAGGGTTCATTCCGTCTGTAAGGGTTTCGGGTGTTTGGGGTTCAGGGTGTTCAGGCTTAAAGGCTGTGTTCTGAGTATCTCTATCGGGCTTAGGAACAAGCAACCCTTGTCCCTCGACACTCTCAGCAATTTGTATTCACTGATTCCTCAACGAAACCCAACAAGAAGCCTCTTGCCAGCACCCAAGAATCTTCTCTCTGCCCGAAGATGCGCACTACAAGAACCTACATACACACATATGCATATGCCTGTACATGTGTGCAATATATATATATATATATATATATGTGTGTGTGTGTAGTATATATGTATATATATATATATATATATATATATATATGTATGTGTGTATGTGTATATATATATATATATATACGTACAGTATATAATACAAATTATGGCCCAGGGGCAGAATGATGGTGATGGTGATGATGCTCATATTCAGAGCTGCCTCCACTTGCACCTTCCGAGGCTCTACGCCGGCTCAAGGTTCAGCGTTTGGGTTTTTAAGGTTTAGGGTGTAGAGGTTTAGGGGTTGGGGGTTTAGAGGTTCAGGGGTTCAGGGGTTTAGGGGTTGGGTTTTAAGGTTTAGGGTTTCGAGGCTCAGGGGTTAGTGGTTTCAGGGTTTAGAGGTTAAGGGTGTGGGCTTTAGGGGCTTAGGGGTTACATAGGGGCTTCGGGTTTAGGGGTTTAAAGTTCAGGGTTCAGGGTTTCGGGGTTTAGGGTTTGGCAGGCGACAAAGTTTGAAGACCTTCCAGTCGAAGCAGCTACGTCAGCCGCCATGACGTCACCATAAACCTTAAACAGTCTTTCACTCAATCTCCCGGCGAGGACCAACTGATTCCTAGAGGGTTTTATGGGGGGAGGGATCGCTTCGGGCGAGGAGTTTGGCCCTAAGCCCGCAAATCTAAACTCTTTGCGTATATCTATATCCGTCTGTTGTATATCCATACATATAGATATATGGACATATATGCTTATTGCATACAAGCATACAAACATACATGAAGTCCATAAATCGTAAGCCCTAAGCCGTGGCTTGCGGGTTTGGTGTTGCCGGACTTGAGGCTATGAGCACGAGGCCATGTACAACATCCCCCCGGAGGTGACAAGCAAAAGCTCCAAGGATTTAGGGTTTGGGGTGTACGACCCAGGGCAAGCCACATTTCAGACCGGGCCTGCGTAGAGAAGTCGAACAATACCTCCACTGCACCATTCTGTATCCTTGCCGAAACTGCTATGCTCTTGCATGGCCTAATTTGCCAGAGCCCCAGCCCAAACTTGGGACCACATGTATGCCAATAGATCGATGACCGAAATCAATCTCAAAAGCGGATGGAATCTTACTATCTGCATATCTTACTTAAAGGATCATGGGTAGTAAGTAGGGTCAAAGTAAAACTAAAGTTAATTTACTTATAACCCCAATTATGGTACTTATAACCCTACTTACTAAGTCCCATGATCCTCCAAGTAGCATCCTGATTAGAACAGGCAGAAGTGAGAGAGGAGTGGCCTGCCGTTTGAAAATCCGGAGCCGGTGTTGCGATGGAAAACTGCTTTGAGCAGCCCTAAACCCTATCCCCCAATCCCTAAAACCTACCTTAACCCTGAACAACCTACCTTTTTAGCGTTCCTTATTATGATTTCTTTGCACAAGTCCTCAGGAATGTAGGTTCTTCGGGGTTAGGGTAAACCCTAACCACTAGTCCCTAAACCGTTGTTTCCTGAACCCCATAAACCCTAATCACCAATGCCCTCAGCCCATAACCCTCAAAGCCCTAGACCCTCACCCCAAAAGCCCCTAAACCCTTAAACCCCCAATTGGACCCATAAAAACCCCAAAAACCCCCTGCCCGAGTTTGCGGACCAGTCCTGACGCTGCGATCGGCCTGCAATGGACCCCTCGACTCCCAAAGTACCTGCGTTAGGGTTCCTTTCAGTTTAGGGCCTAGCGGCTCTAGAAGGAGTTTAGGTTCTAGGGTTTGGTGCGTTGGGATGTGGGGTTCTCAGGGTTTCAAGTCCGGGCCTTCGCGCTTAGAGCTTGGAGTTCAGGGTTGTTCGTTATTTTTGCCACATTTCAGACAATCCTCGGCGAGGTACACATGGCAAGACACCCTCAGAAACCGGCCTAGACACCGACATGGAAAGACAGGCAAACTCCCGAGGCCAGCATGCTACATGCTGCATGACGTCCAGCACCATGCAATCCACGCACACTTCATAAAGATTGCCCAGACAGAGCTATAAGATAGTACAAAGCACAAACCTTGCTAAGCTCTCGTACAAGCGCTTGTGGAACACGCTACAAACCTCTGAACAAAACAAGTCTTGCAATAGTTGGCAAGGTGGCAGGCTGAAATCGAGCTCATACAGGGTTGCACCGATTTCCAAGTCATCTCTCTCTATCTCCCTCTTTCTCCCTCTTGCTCTCTTTATGGGTTCAGTGTTTAAGTCTCTCTCTCTTTGCTTTGCTTTGCTCCGGGGCATGGGCCGCAAGCAGTCCTTGCGGCCCGCGCACGAGCGCAACGCCATCCAACATGTTGTTTGGATGGGCTCGACTGTTCAAGAAAGTTTCTGGGGTGTCCCGTGTAGAAAACATTGTCAGAACCACAGCCAAAGACGACCCTAGAGAGTAGCACCGCCAACGGCCAACGACAAACCATAAAGTAATCTCGGGTTCCCTGCAAAAGGCTCAGGCAGGAGGGAAAAGCATGCTTCAATTAACGGCCCCGCACATCTTGTGTTGCTGCAGGCGCATTCTGTTGGGTTTGTGCGGAAAGAGTGCCCTCCATAGCCTCGAATTATTGGGTTCCCGTCAGAGTTCGGTCACTCCACTTGTCTAACATGGTTGGTACACGGAAGTTGAGGTCTGGCCTTAGGCGGCCTTTTTCAGCGATCTGCAAAGGGATGGTCCTCGGAAAGGAGCGCGTGCCCATGCCATTGGCATATACAGCATATACACTCTGGCAAAATTTCCTCCGAGCCACGCTTTCGCTCAGGTGTGCTTGTGTTCTCGCATTGTGCCCTTTCTCTCACGACCTTTCGTGTCCAACTGTGTCGCAAGTCGCAGGATCTGTTGTGCGAGTCTGCTTCGTCGAGGGGGTGCACTGGGTTCAGCGACTCTGGTGCTCCCCGGTACTGGTGTCTCGACGGCCAGGTCCTCGTTGTTGTTGGTGCTCCTGGTCCTTCCCATCCATTCGAACTCCGGGTCGATGGGGTGAAGGGCCCTGGTGTGCTGGCGAGCTGCTGCTGGGTCTTCTTGTCGAGTGCCCCCCATAGCGGCAAAGACTCCCACTGCTCGTGCGGCTCCAGCTCGGACGGGGTCGGTCCCTCGCGTGTTTTCCGTCGTCCTCGAGGGTGCTTCTGTTGGTGTTGGCGGCGGCTCCCAATTCAAGATGTCGTTGAGTGTCGCATCAGTCTCTGCATCCCTTTTCTTGCTATGCAAACCTCATCGCGAACAAAAGCACACGGCGAGCTGTCAAAGTCGCAGTGGCAGCCACAAACGGCAAACATCAAAGCAAGTGCATGCTACCCAAAACCCATCAATACAGGTAGCCCAAAGACGACACGTCTGAAATTTGATCAAGCTTAGCGCAGGAACAAATCGAAACAGATGTCATTCGCAACCCATGTTAGATTTCACATTTCAATTGAAGCGGCCATTGGGCCACCGTGTTTCGATCCCATCTCAGACCCTGTCTTCATAAGCCATGCGGAGGCTTTCATACTCCTCCCAAAGCTCCTTTATGGGCCTTGGGCTTGGATCTCCACCCAAGACACCAGAACCATCCTCAGAGTCGATGAGCCCCAGGAGCTGTTGACCCAAAAGGCCGGTCGCGTTGGTTTGAAAAGACTGCGCACAAGGTCTGAATCTGATAGCAGAACTTCGCCTCAACCTTTCAATCGCGCGCTCCAACCAAGCTCGCTCCTGCGACTCCTGTGACTCCCGGGCCTGTGCAGCTGCCTCCAATGCGGGATCTGCATTGGCATCATAATCTGGGAAATCTTCATGTTGTTCGAGATAGATCAACCCACCTGCTTGCAAAGGCACGACGGCCAACGCATCGATTTGAGTACTGGATCTCTGGACAGGCCGTTGGCGGTCCGTCCATCTGCCACGCTTGGCTGACTAGCAACCACATACAAGAAGACACATCAAAGCAAGCAACCGAAACATGTCCCCAAAACAGTTGTGGAACGTCGCAACTGACTCAACAATCAAGAAAGCGAAGAAGGCTGGCACGCAATGGTCTGCATGAGTTTGCACAAAGCTCTTGACTGTCAACTCTTTGCTTTTCTTTTGGGGACCTTCTTGATCGGTTCTCTCTCCCTCCCTCTCTCTCTCTCTCTCTCTCTCTCTCTCTCTCTCTCTCTCTCTCTCTCTCTCTCTCTCTCTCTCTCTCTCTCTCTCTCTCTCTCTCTCTCTCTCTCTCTCTCTCTCTCTCTCTCTCTCTCCCTCCTCGATCGTTCCATTTATCAGTACGTCCTCTCAAGGTTTAACGATGTAGGACTAAAGGTTCAAGGCAAGAGTTTAAGGATGCTTGAAGATTTTGGGATCTGGGGCTGAGGGATTCGATCCGGCATAGGGGGTTCAGGGGTTAGCCTCGAGACGGGGTTCCTGACAGCATTGGGTTTAGGGTTCAGGGGGTGTGGGGTTTAGCGTGACATCTGTGAATGCTGTGGTTACGCACTCTGCGACGAACGAGCTTTTAAGAGTAAGCTAGCTGCTATATTTTCATCAAAGCCATCTCTTGCTCCTTGACGCATCTACCTACATTCTCTCGTCTCAGATACATCTACTTCAAATAACCCGAATCTCTTCTCCACAACCCGTCTGCCATTGACATAGAGCGCACCGAAGATGGCAGACCTACTTTATTATCGTAGTTCATTCAGCAACAACAGTACTTAAAGGTTCATGGGACTTAGTATCCAGGGTCATAAATAAGGTAACTATATTGGATATAACCCCAGTTAGGGTACTTATAACTGTACTTACTAAGTCCCGTGAGCCCCCAAGTAGTTACCAAAACTAGCAGTACCGACCGATGAAGACCAAAAAGCTGAAACGTGGCCGCTCACCGCCCGATAAGCGCTTCAGACATGGTCGTCGCCGACATCATCGTTATCACCATCATCAGCAGCAGCCGCATCACCATGATGCCGTCCTGAACCACAGCAACATCATCGTCATCGCCATCATCATCTTGCTCATAGTCCTACGGTGATTATCACAGCAATGATCATAACCGTGGTTTCTCGCAAGATTCAGCATGATCACGAGATCATCGCCATCGTCGCCGTCGTCGTCACCAAAGGTCCGTTCACGATAAAAGCAGCACTGGCACAATGCAGAAGAGGACAATGTCAGGGATGATGCGCCCAAGATGAGGATCCAAATGACGATCGGTGGGGAGGTTTGCAACGCCACAGCTGATGATAGACGGTACTTGAAGGATCATGGGACTTAGTAAGTAGGCTTACAAGTAAAGTAACTACAGTTGTTTTTACTTATAACCCCAATTAAGGTACTTGTAACCCTAACTAAGTCCCATGATCCTCCAAGTAGTGATAGCGATGAAACGAACTGCTGAACGGTAACTGCAACAATCTGATAACGGTGGGGATGCGGTCGGTGTTTCGCAGTACAGAAGATGATGGTGCCCAGAGACTCCAATGTCCCTTAATTAGGGAATAGACCTTAAATAATACGAGGGATCCTACTAAATTTTAAAGTATTTTCCTTAACTAAGCGATATTGGAGTCTCTGAGTGATGATGGGAATTATGTTGTGGTCGATACGCACCATCACCAGCATCATGAAGATGTTTATGTGATGACGGCCACCACGAATCCATGACTATTGTGATGCTACTGACGCAGGTGGCAGTGCTGATGATGCCGCTCTTAATAAGACTCTTATTACTACAAGTACTGCCATTCTAGTATTGCTCTTGTTATGCTTCTATTGTTGTTATTGTTGGTATTACTATGACTATTATTACTCCAGCGATTCTATTAATACTACTGTTGTACTAATTACTACTGTTGTTATTCTTGGTATTACTACGACTGTTCTTGTTAGAACAAAAGTGACAAAAACCGGTTTCGCCGGGCCTGGGTGTCGTTGCGGAAGAAGTACGGCTTGTAGGATGTCCGGTCGTAGAATGCCTAAGATGGATACAAAAGGGGCCTTAATAATTAGAATAGGGTTTTGGGGACCGTTATACTATAACTATAATAGGGAACTCCAAAATAGTAGAGGTAATTATTTAGGCCCCTACAGTATCCGATTTTGCTGGAGGGCATCGAGGGACACCGAGGGGTTGAGGCTTCGGCGTCGAGTTTGAGGTTCTCCTCTTTCGAACTGACGGGTCTTTGCACCCAGTTTGCAGGTTGAGGGCTTGATGCCTAGGGTTTGGGGTTTAGGGTTTTGGGGTTTAGGGGTTTATGCAAGGTCACAGATGTAGCTTCTCGGCTGCTGGCATACAGTCTAGATCCGCATGAGACTGCACTGCACAAGGCACATCGTCGTAGTCGTATCACCACAAACCATCAGCAATGCCTAATCCGGAACCCTGGACCCCTAAACCGCAACCTCTCACCTCGCAACAGGGCAGGACTCCGAAACCAAATGGCATTAGAATAGGGTTTGGGACTCTTTTATAGTATAATTCTGACAAGGAGCCCCCCAAATAGTATTGGTAATTATTTAGGCTTCTATGGTACGCTCTGCATGAGCCCAACTCCCACACAAAGCCATCCACAGAGCACTGCACAAGCCGGTGCTGGGTCGATGGCTGCTTTCGTGGGGTTTGGAGTTTAGGGTATGGGGTTAAAAGTTTAGAGTTGTGCTTCAAGCTGGAATTGCATCGAAGGGCAGTAAAACAGCTCCGCACAATCCTCACTGCCCGACGGCTCGGAAACCCTCAGAAGCCCAATCACAGCAAACCAAGAAGCCCGGAATTCGCTGACTAATTCGGCGATCATCTCTGCGTCACGCGTCTCCTGGAAGAGGCAGGATTGACACTTCAAACCCTAAACCCTATCGAAGGATATCGGCGGAGGACCTCCGGTCCCAAGAACCTTAATGCAACACCCCGAACCCAAAACAGTAAAACTGGAACCCCCGTTACTAACGGTTTAGGGTTTAGGGTTTTAGGGTTTAGGGTTACTCCTTGCATTACCACTTGCTGTGATTTTCTATGCACTTTTGGCATGTGCTATTCCTGTCAAGGCGACTTCTAAGGCAGCTTTCGGATGCTGCAAACACTAGCCACCACCGTGTCCTTGGCAAACTCATTTCAGGATTTCCAACACCCGGCGGACCAAAGTTAAACGTTTCAAACTAAGACTAACTAGACCCAAGAGTAATGTAGGAATAAAAAGGGTGCCCTTTTTGTTTTAAAGGAGGTTGTTAGAAAACCTAAACCCTAGAAAAAGGGAATAAGGGCCTACTCTGGGTCCTAGCTAACTCATGTGAACTAAGAAAACTGGCTTTTTGGAAACCCTGAAGCCCAAACCCCAAACCCTGGCATTGAAGGTGGGGAGTTGTTCAAGCATGGCTCTGCAGTGTTCGTCTGGAAAGTGAGAGTCCCCCCAAAGGCTTAATGATTGCCCGGATCGTCCGAAAAACTTAGTTCATCTCGCGAAGTCCCCCTTCCTAAGTGCTAGCTAGGAGTTTCCGACAATTAGGGGTGCCTAATTTTGGGGTTCCTTATAATGAGGATCCTAGTATTTAGGGTGCTAGATTAGGGTCCCCTATTTTCGGAAACTCGCAGCTGGTCCTCGATAGACCTCCGGAGATGTGCCGTCCACATCTGAATCGAGAAGTCCTGGTCTTGCAACTTGCAGTTTCAGGGCGGGAGGAGGGTATCATTTTAGGGTTTAGGGTTTTTGGGGTTTAGAGTTTAGGGTTTATGGTGCTTGTAAGGGGTTTTTTAAAGGTTCCTTTAAAAGGGTATTATAGTGGCTGTAAAGGCCTTTTCAAGGGGTTCCTTTAAGGAGGGCAGGGCGATGAGAGGACGAGAGGATTCTGCTGTTATGCTTGCTCAGGAGTTGTAGGGCTTAGGGTTTAGGGTTTAGGGTTGTGAAGACGTCAGTCTGAACCGTCCACGCTGACAGAAATCACCGACCTTACTTCGCCCACACACGAGTCGGGAAGCCGAAAGCGCTGAAAATCCCCAGATTGAAGAAAGGGCACGGGTCGGGGTTGGATTGATAGCTTGTCCAGGTTGTGAGGATCCAAAAACCCTGGCCCCATGAGACCATATTGTAGAAGGCTTTCCCGGAAGTGACTTCGGACACTGATCGGATCTATGACAAATGCCTGGAGATAGTTTCTCTTGACAAGTACTGCAGTCCTGGGTTCTAAAGCCCGCACCCCTAAAACCTAAGCCCTAAACTTTCGGACAAAACTTGGGTTTAGGGTTAGGCTGTAGGGTTTGGGGGGTCCAGGGCTTAGGGCTTGGGGGTCTGGGCTTTAAAGATTTGGCTTGGGCGAGGCCGGCCCGAGGTCCCGGATGTAGGGTTCAGGGTTCACTTAGGCCTCAGGATTTAAATGGAACTCCAGAAAGTTGGAATATGGTTTCCGGGTAGGATACCCTATAATTTACCATAAACGGTTCAGGATAATCATATTCCAACTTTCTGGCTTTACTTTAGGGTTCGGGGTTCAGGGTTCGGGCTTTTGTCTTTTTCATGTCCCTTTCCCTTCCGCAAGATCCGGGAATTAGGGATTAGGGTTTAAGGTGGTTTGGGGGTTTTGGGAGTAGGGTTCGGGGTGGGAGCGCCCGGAAAAGTTGCAGAGGTTCTTCACTGATTCTCCACAGAGAGAGAGCATCTGACAGGGCCCTTCCTGCAGTACCTTACAGTAGCAGCCAGAAAGTTGGAACATGACTTTAGGATACTTTAGGAGGATTAGAGCTAGGACCCCTTACACCTTACCTTAAGGGCATGAGAAGAATGATGTTCCAACTTTCTGGCTTCTGCTGTAAAAGCAGCATCCATGGGCCTGACAAATATTGGAGAAGGGTTAAGGGTTACAGTGTTCTACTCAGCAGTGCAATGCAAATAACAATTTCTAGACTTCATACCAACAAGAGTAACAATGGTACTGCGAATACTGAGAATGCAAAGTTTCAGCTATGATTATGGGCAATATAATGGCGCATGTATTCAAAGCAGGCTTTTGTGCAGTCCTGCGTGGGGTAGGAGAATGTGCCCGGCAAAGGTAACACCTCTCATCTCGCTCTGTCGAGATTGAGGGTGTCAGTTTGGGATTTGGGATATAGGGTTTTGGAGTTTAGGGTGTAGGATTTGGGCTTAGGCTTTTAGGGTTCAGGGTCTCAGTTAGGCTTAGGGTTTAGGGCTTGGGGTTCCGGAGCTGCATCTTCTGGCCCAGACATCCAAGCCAGTGCAGTGCAAAAGCGCAGACCGAATGTCGAATGATGCACGGTACACACCATAGACGAGAGTCGCCTTTGTAAAGTTCGCTAAACACAGTGGTGTTAGGGTTTAGGTTCTTGACGAGGCTGTGGATGTGTCTCAACAATTGAATTGTGGGTCCTGAATGCCATTCATAAACTTAAGCAACCTATCTAATTACTACCAATCATCAACTGTAAGCCCCTTCGCGAAGCGCGGCTACATAAAACGACTGAACCAACCTGATGGCAACTAACTCTCGCATGCAAAGAGCCTATAGACACGTTTCGCGGCAGTAGATGTTCGCAAGTGTTCCTATTGCAGAACCCAAATGGTCCTATGTACCGATATAGTAGAAATTTGGGTCTCCATATTAGGAATCACAATTATGACTTAGGGAAGTATTCCCCATAAGAGTACATAGGACCCTTTGGGGAAATCAAACCAGGGCAGAGCGTGCGAGTCAAGATGGCTGGGGTCGTCTTCGAACGAATGCCAGTTCCATCAGGCAGAGGAACTCAGGAATCAAGAACGGTACGTGTATCTCCATTGCCGTCTTCGCTGTCCCTCAGATTGGCATGCTGCCATCTGTGTTAGTAATGCCGCTCGAGTTGCTGGGGTGCTTGACGTTTTGCGACAATCCCATTTGTTGTTGCTGTTCCTGTTGCTCCCTCGACAGTTCCTGCTCCTGTTGCCAAAACGCCGCGGTAATGGAGGTGGCCGTGGTCATAATGATAGTTGCATTGGTGGCGGCGGTAGTATGGTAGTGCTGTTGTTGTTGGTGGTGCTGCTGCTGATGCTGCTGCTACTGCTGCCGCTGCTGCTGATGCTGTTGGCGCTCGTTTTTCTTTCCGCTGACGCTAACTGTCACCATAGTGCCGTCTCCTGATCAGAATTCACGTGTTCAAGTGCAGGCCTGTATCTGCAACCGTCCTTGCCTTGCATGTACTTGCACTGTCCACTACCTGCGCCGTGCTTTGCCAAAGCTTGCACTGGTCAAAACAGATATGCACTTGTCCTTGGTGCAGGTGCCAGTTGAATACGCATCAGCTTCCTCCGGATGTCGTGCTGGCCAAGCGTCGCCGAGGAAAACATCCAAAACAGCAACTCCACATGCAAGAACTGGGAACCCTAAACCTTGGACCTTAAACCCTAAGCTTCCTAAACTCCTTACAGTAGAAGCCAGAAAGTTGGAACATTACTAGCCTCATGCCCTTAAAGCACAGGGAATCCCAGCATGAATCATCCTAAATCCATGTTCCAACTTTCTGGGTTCACTATACGCTGATCAGACACGCCCCGGGCCTGAACGGAGAGAATGATGAGGCAGGCGACAACTGAGGAGACCCGCGAGATCAGCTTGGAGCTGATCACCTGAGAACTTCAGGTTCTAGGTCTTTTTTAATATATATATATACATATATCATATATATGTATATATATATATATATATATATATGTATATATATATATATATACATATATATCTTGTTTCGGTTGTGACGGGGGGAGGGTTCTGGGTCTTAGGGGTGTAGGGTTTAGGCGTTCAGTGTTGAGGGTTTGGGAGGTTAGGGGAGTTTTGGAGAAGACGCGACTCCAAATAGGTCCAGTGGCTATAGTACATTATAAAGGGACACCACGCCAACAAAAAAAGGCCCCTAGATCGAGGGCTTCGCTAGATCAGAGGCTCTGATCTACATCCTCGGAGGTATGCCGGGATTCTAGCAGCACTTGATTTCGGAACATGCGCGTACACTGAAGAACCAAACATATGAGGCAAAACCCGGTTCAACTCCGTTAGAAGCCCTAATCATCGCTGAAGCAAACCAGCATGACGCCATGAACTGAACCTGGTAATCCTGGGATCTATAGGGGTTCGGTTTAAGGTTTCAGAGTTTAGGGCTTTGAGGGCACTTATGGGGCATTAGGAGTTATGGTTGTTAAATCATGTTAAATCTAGTTGCCCTCCCCCTCCACTGCGGCAAAACTTGAACCACCCAAGAGCTTAAAATGGGCAAGTCATCACTAACTTCGAAAGGGGGCGGACAAGCCTTCCTGCCCAGAGCCCTCACCCTACAGCCTCAACCATAAAACTTGAACTTAAACCCTCAACGCTAAAACATAAACCCGGAACCCCAAGCCTTAAATGAATCCTTCCCTGAACCCTGAAACCCTAAACCCTAAACCCTAAACCCTGAACCCTGAACCCTAAACCCTAAACCCTAAACCCTAAACCCTAAGCCCTAAACCCTAAACCCTGAATCCTGAAGCCTCAGTTTCAGCCAGGAGACTTTGGCGGTACTGCCTGGCTCCCGCGCCTAAGCTCTTACGCAGATCAGTGTGGCTGTCATTTAGTGTTTGGCATTTGAAACCATAAACCCTAAACCGTTTTTGCGTTTTTGGGGCTTGGGTGTTTGTAAGTGCAGTGGCCTTTCTCCGCTCGCATCGGTTTCAAACCCTAAACCCCCAAAACCATAAAACCCCTAACCGGTTTTGAGTGTTCAGGGTTTAGAATTTTTCGGGTCCCTAAACCCTAAACCGGAGTGATCTCTTTTAAGCCAAAGAGCTCCCCGCTTCGAGAGGAAGGGCAGGAATCGCAGCCTGGGCTCCGGGTCCATGGTTGGGGATCGCCAGGCTTCGTTTAGGGATTACCTTAACCCTGAATAACCTACAATTCAGGGTTCTTTCTTATGATTTCTTTATATAAGCTTAAAAATGTAGGTTCTTCGGGGTTCAGGTAGGGTCTAGGGATTAGAGTTTAGGGTTCAGGGCTTCGACAGAAGGTTTTTTTTGGGCTTTATAATAGGGATTAGAATTTGGGTTTCAGGGCTTTGGCAGAAGGGTTTAGAGGGATTAAGGATCAGGGTTTAGGGCTTTGCGCATGGAAGCTAGGAGGCCCTTGAGGATCATTGCGTGCGGAATCTTTAACTCCGAACTCACTGAGACTTAGCCTAGGGTCAGTAGAAGCCCAAAAGTTGGACGCCAATAGCCCCAATCCTTAAGGGTAATGTAATAGGGAATCCCAGCACTATTTCGCCTTAATCCGGCTTCCAAATTTTTTGGGGGTTTACTGCAACCCTAAAGGTTTTGGAGCTTTTAAAGTAACTACACTTATTATTACTTAATACCCCAGTTAAGGTACATATTATCGCCCTACTTACTAAGTCCCATGATCCTCCTTCTAGAACCCTTATAGATCCCTTTAAGGAACCCTGCTATAGAACCCTAGTACCCTTAAAAGGAGCCCTAAACCCTACTTTACTAAGTCCCATGATCCTCCAAGTAGGGCTTAGGGTTGAGGAGCTTTTCTGGGTTCAGGGTTTAGACATCTGCTGACCTAACTTTTAGGATGTCCTTAAGGGGGGGTGGTCCAAGGGGGGTAGGTAACCTAGTAATCCCCATTATTCCCCAATACTCCCTAAGCTTCCCTAAGGTTCCCCAAAGCTCCCTAGTACCCTCCCCCCTTGAACCACCCCCCCTTAAGGATCCTATAAAACTTACCTTTGGTTAGTGGGGAATGAAAGGGGCCCTATAAAGGGGCCTTATAAAGGGGTCTATAAGGGTTACTAGAAGGGCTCTATAAGGGTACTATAATATAGGGTTCCTTGATAATCCTATAACTTACCTTTGGTTAGTAGGGAATGGAAGAATGGTAGTCATAGCAGTTATAATTGTACCCCATTCCTACATGCCCTACTAACCAAAGGTAAGCTAACTCGTCATGCTTTTCCCCAAACCTTCGCTATAGCGCGACGGCCATTCAGACGGTCATTCTTCAAAAATCGTCTTCCCCACAACGAAGATGGGAAGTTCACCAGGACTTCTGTTGTTTAGGTGCTTGGGTATTTCGAAGAGAGTCTGGTGGTATATCCTAGATTTTTTTTGGGGGGGGCATATTACAGCATGGGCAACCAAGGAAACCTGAAGACTGGCATATTAGGTTCGGAATCCCCCTGCACTTATGCTAAGCACATTTGGCAAGAAAGACCTTGAGGTGTCGACTCGACGACACACTGCTCCTTCAAACTGGGACGTCTTGCTCGGCGTTGTGACTGTGTTCTGACGGTGGTTCTGACGGTGGCAGCATTTATGCGAGCAGCTTGAAGCTGTCTGAAAGTAAATCTGTTGCAAAACTAACGTGCCCTAAACCCAGTGCCCCTAAATCCTAAGCCCTAAACCCTGAACCCTAAACCTTAAACCGAAACCCTAAACCCCCAAAAACCGAAGAGAATCGACCCCTCGAGATGCACGCCCTGAAGCCCTCGGACCCCAAGGAGCACAGAAGGCTTGGGTTTAGTTTTTCCGGTTTCTTACCTTTGATTAGTAGGGAATGAAAGGGGCCTTATAAAGTGGTCTGTAAGGGTTACTATAAGGGATCTATAAGGGTACTATTATATCGGGGCCTTAATAATATATAACGTACCTTTGGTCAATAGGGAATGGAAGAATGGTAGTAATAGTATTTACAACTGTGCCCCATTCCTCCATTCCCTACTAACCAAAAGTAAGGCATTGGAGCTCAAGTTCTTCGGGCTTTATGTACATGATCAGAACTGATAGCGGGCTGAATTTCTGCTCGAGGTAGAATGAGCAAGAGTGACAGGGCTTCTGCTACAAAGTACTTCTTCAGATCCGTGTACTACCTTGTTTTGGGTCCCTAATGTTCCCTGTAAGACCACTACAAGATGTCTATTTTAACTATCGAAGCTCCAACTCGATCAGCAACACACATCACTGATGCAATCACACTTGAGGATTTGAGGCTTTAGGGACTTGAAACATCTGCAGCGGCTCGGTGGGGGGTGTTGCGTATTAAAGGCTTTTGTCAAAGAGATGTAGGGGTTTAAAGCTTGAGGGCTTCATTGCTGGTTCGACTGATCCAAGCAAGCCTTAAACGTTGAAGATTCAGTAGTTCGTTCCTCGACGAAGAGCTATCGAAGGTGGGCAATGCAGACACGATTGATAGCAATGTAGGCCCCTGGGTAGTTCAACTGCCTCTACGAATCAAGAACAAGAATGGGACCCTAAGGTTAGGGCCTTTAAAATGGGACCCTAAGGTTAATTAGGGGCTTTAAAGAAACGGGGTTGAACATTAGGGGTCTGCAGTATGGATGCGATGCTCGTCCTGACTCAACGAATCCTTGAACCCCTAAGCTAAAGCCCCCGTTTCCACAACAGGATAGTCAAGAGGCTGATGGTATCCGCTCCAAAACTCATGTCTACTTATAAAGGTCCAATATTAAATCCTTCACAGAAACCTTGATCCCTTAAAGAGGCGCTTAAAAGAAACCCAAAACCCGAATCTCTAAACATCCCTAAACCCTAAACCCTTCTTACGTCAAGGCGCAGCTTCACCAAACGAGTCAACCGGCCCGCCCGCGCCCCAAGCTTGGCTGCCCGTGTGGCACGCCTCAGGGCAGCCAAGTTAAGGTCATCGATTTCGGGTTTGTTTTTCCGCGTTTTAGGCGTTTAAAGGTTTAGGTGGCTTTAGGGCTTTATAGGCTCAGGAGGGTTGAAGGGTCCATAGACCCAGGATCTAGGCCGTTGCTCCTGCTGGGTCTCCAAATCGGATGCGTGGACATGAAATTCGGGTCTAGTTCCAGAAACCTGACAACCCTCAACCCCGATCCCTGAAACTTGAACCTAAACCCTTTGGTCCAAGCCCCTGCAATATGGGAGCCTTAAAAATTAGACTAAATCTGGTTTATTGAACATGATATGTAGTATACGTCTGGGAGCCGTAATAAAACTGGAACAAAGCTTAGGATAAATGAGCTGTTGACAATATAGTATAAGTAATATGAAGAGCCCTAGCGAACAGTATCAGTGATTTTTTGAAGCCCCCGATTGGTTCCTTAAGCCCCGAAGCCCAAATCCTACGGCTTTAGGTGTTGGTGGCCCTGCTCCTTGAGAAATTCCTGCACCGTCTACTACGTCTGAGCGATGGGAGCTCTGTTACAAGGGTGCAGGCATCCAGTACTCAGGGGCAGTGCAACCATATAGGGCCTGAATGATAGCCAATAGTATTCCTTCGGGCTCCTACTCTAGACCCAAGAGTAACCTAGGAATAAAAAGGGTGTCCTTTTTGGTCTTGAAGGGCTTATAAGGGAACCTGAACCCTTAAAAAGGGAATAAGGGCCTACTCTAGGTCCTAGTTCTTATGATTGTACGATGATGTACCCGAAAACCCTTTTCTGGCCATCACGGCTCCTCTACAACACCGAAACGGTTTAAGGTTTAGGGTTTAGGGTTTAAGGTTTTTAGGGTTTAGGGTTTAGGGTTTAAGGTTTTAGGGTTTAGGGTTTAGGGACAAGACTAACCCCCTGAGTTGTAACTACCGTTGTCGGCATGGCCGGTCTGCCGGAAGCAGGTTCCACTCCAGCAGTCGAAGACATCCTGGAACATTAGGATAACAAAGAAGAGATCAAACAACTAGGGTTTAGGGTCTTGGGGTTTGAGGGTTCAGGGCCGCCGAACCCAGAACCTCCTTGTCAAACACACTTGTAAGTGCGACCGCGGCACATGACGACGGAGTTGTTCGTAATTGCATTCCTGGCCGGAGCTGTCGACCGCTGCGGTTGATGGTATAAATCCTGCATTACTCATAGTAAGGAATATACCATAATTCCTATAGTTTAGGGTCCTTAAGGTAATGCAGGATTTATATCATCAACAGTACCACTGGACCACAGAGCTACACTTTCTTGGAGCTCAAGGCTTGGGGGCTTAGGGCTTCAGGGGTTTAGGGTTCCTTAAAGGGATCTCTTAAAGGGATCAGGGTACTATAAGGGTTAATTAAGGGGTTTAGGGCTTAGGGGTTTAGGGGTTCGGGTTTAGGGGAAGCTTAGGGTTTCTGATCTCGAAGGCTATGTTATGTGGTGCATGTGGGAGGGAGGGGTCAGGAGCTTGAAAGACAGACTGACATACCGTAGACCCTCGACCCTGAATCCTAAACTCGTGTCCCTGAACCCCTAAAACACCCTTAAATCGAACCGAACATCTAAAATCCCTTATTAAATCGAACCAAATATTCAAAACCGTTATTAAATCGAACCAAATCTTTTAAATCCCTTATTAATTCGAACCAAAGATCTAGAGTTTTGTGTGGGCTTGTCCTGAACATCCCTTACACATCTCCAAGCCGAAGGATCCTGAGAGCCGTGGGAAGACTATACTGAACTTAGAACCCTAACACAAATTATCTTTTTTGCTGTTTCCCAGGGATTACATATAATAACCACAAATTGAAAACTATTTCTAAGTACCCCTAAGAGGAGTCAAGAGGTTCCCTTTACTGTTCAGGCGTTTCAGCTTAGGGTTTAGGGTTTGGAGTTTGGGGTTCAGGGCTTTTAGGGTTTAGGGCTTTTAGGGTTTAGGGTTGTGGTATAGGGTTCAGCTTAGGGTTCAGGGTTTGGGGTTTAGGGCTTTTAGGGTTTAGGGTTGTGGTTAAGGGTTTAGGGTTTAGGCTTTAGGGGTTCGTGGCAGCAAACCAGTCGGGCATGCCCTTGCGTCAAAGCCCTCACGGGTGAGAGCTCGATGATCAAGGAGAGTGTGCCGATGATGTCCATATAGAAGAAGAAGGAAAACCTCGGTGTTGCGGGCTATGAGATCACGGGCTGCTGAAAAACTGTCGATAGGCCACAGGCTACTATGAGCGTAATGTTGACGAATATGAACCCGGCGCTGAAGAATCTGATAGGAATCAATTTGTGCAAGCCAGTGAGGCAGCGACTGTAAAGAAGAAGATGACGATTCTGATACTTGCTGTGAGGATGGCTGTGACGATCAAGATGACCATGCTGACAGTTATGATGACGACGGTGATGAAGCGGGGCGAAGAGCATTACTAGTAGTAGTAGTAGTAGTAGTAGTAGTAGTAGTAGTAGTAGTAGTAGTAGTAGTAGTAGTAGTAGTAGTAGTAGTAGTAGTAGTAGTAGTAGTAGTAGTAGTAGTAGTAGTAGTAGTAGTAGTAGTAGTAGTAGTAGTAGTAGTAGTAGTAGTAGTAGTAGTAGTAGTAGTAGTAGTAGTAGTAGTAGTAGTAGTAGTAGTAGTAGTAGTAGTAGTAGTAGTAGTAGTAGTAGTAGTAGTAGTAGTATAGTAGTAGTAGTAGTAGTAGTAGTAGTAGTAGTAGTAGTAGTAGTAGTAGTAGTAGTAGTAGTAGTAGTAGTAGTGGTAGTAGCACTGGTGGTAGTAGTAGTAGTAGTAGTAGTAGTAGTAGTAGTAGTAGTAGTAGTAGTAGTAGTAGTAGTAGTAAAAGTAGTAAAAGTAGTAAAAGTAGTAAAAGTAGTAAAAGTACTGGTAGTAGTAGTAGTAGTAGTAGTAGTAGTAGTAGTAGTAGTAGTAGTAGTAGTAGTAGTAGTAGTAGTAAAAGTAGTAAAAGTAGTAGTAGTAGTAGTAGTAGTAGTAGTAGTAGTAGTAGTAGTAGTAGCAGTAGATTCAGCGGGAGCAGTTGCAGTAATGCAGCAAGAAGGACGTGAAGGACACGGGGTACGGACAGCAGCACCAGCAGAAGCAGTTGCGTGGTGCCAACTTTGTTGCATCTACTGGAAGAAGTTCAGATAAGATATCCAACCAAGTCTCGTGCTATGCACAACGCCAACAGTCGATGTTCTCAGCGTTGAGGTTCAGAAGTAGGGAGTCTACTTGCAACCCGGCCAAGTGCCTCTGCTACTTCACATCCGTATCCTGCTTTCCTGGTATGACCCAGACATGAACATCGCAACATCTCATCTCTGTCTTAGAAACCGGATTCGGATTTCCTACTCAAGCCCGACAAGAAGACTGAACTCGCCCAAAAGCCCTTCTGTTCAGCTGCAAGCCCGAAAAATCCAAACACTCTAAATCTGAAATCATGAACCGAATTAAACCCCAAACCTAAACCCTAAACCCAAACCTGAACCCTAAAACCCTACACATCAAAACAGAAAACCTAAACCCCAAAACCCCCCCAAAAAAAGCCTAACACTCTGGTTGCTGGGTCACATGTAGGTCTGGTAGAAACCGAAAACCTGAAGCCCGGTCCACAGCTCTAAAGTCTTAGGGTTTAGGGTTTAGGGTTTAGGGTTTTAGGGTTTAGGGTTTAGGGTTTAGGGTTTAGGGTTTAGGGGTTGGAGCTCAAGCTAATGTTGGAACGTGATTACGAAACCTTGGGCCTTTATTAGGGCTCCTTTAACGGGGTCAAAAAGGGTGACAAAAAGGGACCTATAAGGGTACTATAAAAATGTAGGATGATTAAGAAACCCTGGCCCAAGAACCCCAAGAATAGTAGGATTCATATTTGGGACCCTACTGGTAATAAGGACCCAGAGTTTCTTAATCAGGTTCCTACATTATCGCACATCAGTATAGGCCTTCGCAATGTAGCGAATCCCTCCGGTTGGGCTCAGCACGGCATGGTCGGGTGCTTCTGTGACTGTAGGTCTACGTACGGGATCCTCTTCATATGACAGGCTTCGCGATTTTTCAGATCTGCGTCTCATGAAGGTGACGTGTGCGTCGCTTGCGTACAGTAGAAGCCGAAAAGTTGGAAACCCAATAGCCTCAATCCTTAAGAGTAATGTATAGGGAATCCCAGCACTATTTGGCCTTAATCCGGTTTGCAACTTTATGGGGTTTACTGTACATTGCGACTGGCTGTGTGTAGATCTTTGCAGGAAGGAATACGGGCTGGGTTCAGTCCCCGGCCCTTGCGAAACAATTTCAGAGATGGACCGACGACGTAGGGTTTCTTGAGATTCCGGGAATATACTGGAAGGACTCAATAAAACTGCCAAAAATCTCTCTGATTTGCTAAGCTTAAGAATGAAGGACTTTACACGTATGGTACCTCCAAAATACTACCAAAAAAACACAATAGCCAGAGATAGGTTCACCGCTGCGCAGGCGCGAAATACTGTCACAGAGCCACAAAGCCCTGGCCTGGACGAGGAAGTCCGCCACAAAGCAGAGGAAGATGCAGACAAGCAGTGCATCCTACAGGTCAGCAGCATCGTTTTTTGGGTTTGGAGTTTAGGGTTTATTCGGGTTTAGGTAAAGGGTTGAGGGGTTTGGTTTTTGGGGGCTTAAGGTTGATTCGGGAAGTTCGGTAGAAGTCTCGTCGGCCGAATGCAACAGTTTACTGATAGGACTATTGACTAGTCTAGAAGGGGGACTTTCCTTGCTGGTGCAAGTTTTCTAGATCTCTATCGTAGCGGCAAAGCCTAAACCCTACTAAACCTGCTTGATTTCTGGCTCTCCATACATGGACCCCAAACCCTAAACCCCCAAACCATCAACCCTGACACTATTACTCCTGAACCTTAAAACACCCCGAAGCATCGCAGCGTTGTGCTTCGCGAGTTTTTCTTCCGTTCCCTCAATTCTGGCTATATCCGTAGGCTCCATACTTAGAATCCTACAAGGTAACCCCAAAACGGAAGTATGGCGCCTTAAGGTAAGCCCTAAACTCGAAGGAATGACAGGACGCTCGGATTACAATGATGACCAACAAAGTGGAAATCCAATAGCCTCAATTATTGTATTGGGAATCCCGGCACTATTTGGCCTGCATCCGGTTTCCAACTTTATGGGGTTTACTGTATTCAAACTTCGGAACGCAGGAGTCTTCCGTACTCACAGAAGCAGCGTTGTTCCATGACTTTTGCGGCTTTGAGGTAGATCTTGGGACAGTGGAGGCTTTCAAGCCGCAGGAGCCGATATGCAGGGCCGTAAAATTGGATCTGAGTTTTTGGAGACATTACTGGAATTATAAGTGGTCTGAGGCTTCGCGATATGACTAGAGCTCTAAGTAGGGACTCTACTTTTTTTTTTTAGTTTTCGAGGCCCCGGGATTCTACGTCGCACGCTCGAGCTCAGGGCCCAGCCAGGCTGTCGTAGGCGAGATCTGTCAGCGCATAGACGTCGGGCAGATAAAGAGCCAAGCTCAGGCAGATGAACATCGTAGACCTCACAATGCGTTGGGGTCGATAGGGCTTATAGGGCTTAGGGGTTACAGGGCTTGTAGGGCTTAGGGTTTATAGGGCATAGGGCTTAGGGTTTGGGGCTTAGGGTTTAGGGCTTGGAGTGGGCGTCTGAACGTTGTAGACCTCATAGGCCTTAGGGCATAAGTGGGCATATGAACAGTGTAGACGTCATAGGCTTCAGGGTTTAGGGTTTGCGGTGGGAAATATGAACATGGTCGACCTCATGGGCCTTAGGGTTTAGGGGCATATGAACATAGTAGACCCCATGGGGTTTAAGGTGGTCGTATGAACATGGTAGACATCATAGGGTTTGCGGTTTAGGGTTGGCGTATGAACACTTAAAGGTTCATGGGACTTAGTATCTATGGTTATGCTATACTTATAACTGGATATAACCCCAGTTAGGGTACTTATCACTGTACTTACTAAGTCCCATGAACCCCCAAGCATCCTTGGGCTTCTTTTCGCTGGTCGTTTCGGCGTTCCAAGGTCTAAGGATGTCACAGCCCAGATCTGGGTGCGGGGGCTTGAGTCGTATGGGGTTTAGGGTTTAAGGGGTTTAAGGGGTTTAGGGGTTTAGGGGTCTAGGGGGTTTGGGGATTAATTTAAGAAACTGCTTCGGGGTAGCACTTGCTATCCTCAGCGTACGGGAATGCTACACACGAAGATTGCGCAGGGCTCACCGGTTCCTGGCTCGATCTACTGCCCAGGTTGGGTGGTGCATGAGGATGTGCAGAACACATGCAGGTGCATGTAGGTAAACCTGCACACGCACGTGTTTCTCTGAGCAGCATACATATACATGCATGCACGCATGCATGCATGCATGTGGGTGGTTGTCAAAACTAGGGTCCCTTTTGGGGTACCCTAAATACAAGGTGCCGTACTATATTAGGGACCCAAAAAGGGACCATAATTTTGACAACCACCCATGTATGCATACGTAGTAACCTACCGACCGACCCAGCGACCGACTGGATGCCATTGCACTGCAGTGGGCCAGGTTGCATGTTGTTGCTGCATGATGTTGCATCGGTTTGGACTGCACAGCGCATTGAATGACAAGGCAAGCCAAAACATACTGCCGGTAGTAGCACAGGATGGCCGGAAAACCGTGAGAAAATGAACACCAGTGTGTAGGCGTACATGTCTTCACGCCTGCATACAAACTGGTACGCAGCATAAAGATGAAACCCAGCCGCAGACAGTATTGGCATCAACATGGATTGCAACGTCAACCTTAACCCCGAAGAACCTACATTTTTAAGGACTTATGAAAGAAATCATAAAAAGGAACCCCAAAAAGGTAGGCTATTCGGGGTTAAGGAGTTGGTAGCAGGTAGCAGTTCAGCACGAGCGGCTGGAAACCGTTGGTTGCGAAGAGCTTGCGGCTGTTCGTGGAAAGCCAAACCAATGCCGCAGATTCTTGGTACGCCGAAGGCGGTTTAGGGTTTAGGGTTTAGGCTGTTTAGGGTTTAGGGTCCTTAAACCCTAAACCCTATCCATGGGAACTCTCAGAGGACCCTAAACCCCTAAACCGCCCAAACCTTTTCCCTTGAGTGTACCCTAAACCTGTCAAGCTTCGAGGCGGCTTTCGCTTGCTCTGAGGTGGGCTGTGGAACTTTACGGCTTGGGGTTCAGGGCTTTTGGCTTGGGGGTGTAGGGTTTAGGCGTTTGGGGGTTTGGGTACTTGGAAGGTCGGGGGACTTGGTAACTGGCTATTTTAGGGACTTATAAGTACCATTAACCCCAATTAGGGTCCCTTTTAAGGTACTTATAAGTCTACTTACGAACTACTTACTAAGTCCCCCGACCCCCCAAGTAGGGCGTCTAGGGGTTCAGGGCTTTTGTTGAGGGTCGTTTCTGTTAAAGCTTCCGCCGTCATACGGGGGGTTAGGGGCTCCGGGCTCGCGGTTAGGGTGGGATTCGAGTACTTGGGGGTTCATGGGGCTTAGTAAGTAGGGTTTAGGGCCTCCTTTTAAGGATACTATAGGGTTCTATAATGGGGTTCCTTAAAGGGATCTATAAGGGTTCTAGAAGGGGGTTCATGGGGCTTAGTAAGTACAGTTATAAGTACCCTAATTGGGGTTATATCCAATTATAAGTATACTTACCTTATTTGTAACCATAGCTACTAAGCCCCGTGACCCTTTAAGTATCCTTTTACTACTATTTGCTTAAGAACAAAAATATATTCCTTATGGGGGTAATATGGGGATTATTCTTTTATTTTTTGGGTGGTTTTCTTAAGCAAATAGTAGTTTCGTCTTCGGTGACAGAGTGTGAGGCAGATGTCGGGCCCACGTGTAAACTCTTTGCCGTTGGAGCGACCTTGATGAGGCTCCTGTGGCATTCTAGGATATGCCCAGACCCCCGGGAGGATCGAGAAAGTAGGGTTTAGGGTTTAGGGGTTTAGGGGCTTAGGGTTTAGGGGTTTAGGGGCTTAGGGTTTAGAGGTTTAGGGGCTTAGGGTTTAGGGGTTTAGGGGCTTAGGGTTTAGGGGTTTAGGGTTTAGATCTAGAAAGTAGATCCCCTAATTTGGGGCCCTATACTACTAAGGGTACTTTATAGGAACCCTCATTAAGGGATCTACTTTTTGGATCCTCCCGGGGGTCTGGGTGCCGAACCAAAGCCAACATAGCTAGCCTTTCTGAATTTTAGGCGCGCGGTAGATTTAGGGCATTTTGGGATTCGTAAGTTTATAGGCTTTCGAAGTAGACTGGCTACGCCCTAAAGCGATGACCCGGTATCTATGTAGTAAGTTCCCGTCCCCATGTAGCCGTGGTATGTCGTGATCTTTTCCCTAGCCGACGCTCAAGGTAACGGGGCATCTGCACCAACAAAAAAGGGTAAACTGCACACCAAGCCTAAACCCTGAACCATAAACCCTAAACCCCTAAACCCCTAAACCCTAAACCCTAAACCCTAAACCCCTAAACCCTAAACCCTAAACCCCTAAACCCTCTCTAAACCAACGAAACCAGCAGGCCCTATACCCTGGACCACCAAACACCTACCCTACAAACCATAAACCCCCAACCCGACATGAACAAAGCTTACACATCCCTACAAAACCATAAACGACACATATGTATGAAAAAGTTACAGACCCTGAAAATCGTACACCCTAAACCAAAACACATCTACAAACCCTGCAAACCTCCCAACCCTAAACCCTAACCTACAAGCCCTAAACCTTGAACCAAGAGAAGCTGAACCCAAACTTAGCCTGCGAAGATTGAAAACCCTGAACCCCAAAAAACCTGCAAACCCTAAACCCTGAACTCCTAATCACTAAACTGAACTCCGAATCCTTACACCTCTCCTCTCCCTGATCTTGGCTGCGCTCAAAGGGGCCCTTCTTTGGCTCAGGCGCAGGTTCCTGGACTTCAGCAGATCTTCGGCATGACGAAGTATTCTATACTGAACTTAGAATCCTAGCAACAATTATAAGTTTAGCTGTTTCTTAGGGATTATAACAACCAAATAATGAAGAATATTTCTAAGTACCCCTAAGTATTGTTGATAACAGACCATCACCATCATACCAATACTACAACGACAACAACATCAACAACGACAACGACAACAACAACACCAACAACACCACCACCACCACCAACAACAACAACACTGACGGTAATAACAATAATAGCAGCTAAGCCAACAATAAGACGAATGACAATCTATTCTGGATAACAATAATGACAGTAATCATTGTCAAGCTGTGGTAAAACTAGCAACTAACCATCAGAATAACCACCATGGTAACAACGTGCTAAATACCGGAAGAAGAAGTATAACCAGAATCCGGATGCGAAGACTTAGAATGGGAGTAATAAGAAGAATATGGATAAGACAGAAAAAGACAATACTAATGCACTATCAATAAAAAGGAATACTAAGATACAATTAGACAAGTATACATACATGTAGACACACATAAATACACACATGCATACATACATGCATACATACATGCATACACACGTGCATACATACATGCATGCAAACGTCCATGCATACATCATGCATCCGTCCATCCATCCACCCATCCACCCATCCACCCACCCACCCACCCATCCAGCCATCAATCCATCCTATGCACATCCGTGCATACATACAGACAGACACATATGTATAGCATGTTTTAGCTAAACATGCAAACCGCTGCTTGTCCTGTATGGTTGTGGGTATTAATGTTGATGATGAAGAAGATGAGTATGCTAACGGTAAGGGTGTGGACGATCTTAGTTTGTCCCTAAACCTGTCCTAGTACTGCTAATTGCTTACATCTTGAAGCTTCCTTATCCATATTCCCATTCAAGAAGCCAGAGCCGTCGGAGAGTACTCGTCCCTAGTTCTGCTTGCCTGAGGCCAAGGCTGCAAGCCTCGCAGCCATTATCGACCTCGACGATGGCGAGCGCGGCACGCTGTCATGCACGTTCAGCCTCATCAAACATAGGCTCATGGCTGCCATGAAGAAAGCTAGGGATGGGGGTTCTGAGGCTTTTGGGTTTAGGGGTTTAGGGCTCATAGGGCTTAGGGTGTATGCTGCTGCATTCTTGCGACTTGATATGACTTGACATAATGATCCTCAACACAATTTGTTACGGCGAAGCCTGAGCAGGCAACATGCCAACGGCAATTCCTGAACCTACCCGGCGCAAAAAAGGGAACACAAAACGAGTCAGTACCGGGAAAAAGCTAAGTCCTATGAAGAAAGCTTAAGTTCACCAGCCGAGTTGAACTTGATAGCCCTAGCTCCCAAAGGACTTCGCTGTTGCTATCTTATTACTGCTATTATTATTAGTATTATTTTACCTCCAATAACCCCTACACCCCTAAATGCCACAACCCAACACCCCCGGACCCCTAAACCCTAAGCCCCTAATCCCGCACAACCCAATACCCGGCCCCTAACGCCGGAAGACCTCGGGCCTTAATGCTTGAAGCTAAACTGGTTTAGGGTTTAGGGGTTTAGGGGTTTAGGGGTTTAGGGGTTTAGGGGTTTAGGGTTTAGGGGTTTAGGGGTTTAGGGGTTTAGGGGTTTAGGGGTTTAGGGGTTTAGGGGTTTAGGGGTTTAGGGGTTTAGGGGTTTAGGGTTTAGGGGTTTAGGGGTTTAGGGGTTTAGGGGTTTAGGGGTTTAGGGGTTTGTGGCAAGGACCTTTATGTACTATTTGACGGGTCTCTCTTTGTATAGTATTGAGTCTAAATTATTCAGCTAGGGCTCAGGGTTGAGGTGTCGTAGCTGCTCGGGCTCCTCGTCGGGTTTAAGATTGTGCAGCCCAAAGTCACCTGCAAGCTCTCCTATTCCTACTACCCTACTCCTGCTTTCTACCACTCTCACTCTCCAATTCGCGCCTTCCTATTCCCATTTGCCTAGTCCTACTCACTTACTCCCATTCTCATGCTCCTCCTTTCTTGTTTCAGTGATCTTTCATTCTTTATTTCCTATCCTCCACTCCTCACCCTCTTACGCCCTTACTCCTGCTCTTCTACTCCCACTCTCCCACTACTGCCACTCTCCGACTACTCTCGTACTCGTAGCTTCTTGCTCGTACCCTCCTGCTGCGACTCTTCTGTGCCTTTGCTTTGATTCGTATTCTCCCGACCCCTAGTCTCCTTCCTCTATTCGATTACTCACCTTGCGTCTACTCCCCCTGCTCTCCTATTGCGACCATTCCATTCGTGTTCTCTTACTGCTGCTGTCTTCCTGCTACTCTTCTTTTCCCTCCAAGGAGTAGGCATCGAGGTAGGGCAGTAGGAAATACAGTGGTGGGAATCGCGCAAAACTAGGAATAACTAACATGCGTGTAGGAGAGAGTACCAGGAATAGCGGTTAGAAATAGCCCTAAGAGAAGGTGCATGGAGGGCAAGGAATCGGAAACTAAATTGAGAGAGTAGGAATGGATATGATGGAGTGGGAATAAGACAAAGAGAATGAGAGTAGAACGTGTTTGAAATAGGAGGATAAGGGGCGGAGAAAATAGGAGTGAGAATGTGCACAGTGAGTTTGACATTAAGAGTCGGAGGACAGGAATATGCGAACAAGAGACGAAGAGTTAGACTAGGAGAGGAGGAGCCACATATTAGGAGTAAGAGAGTAGGAAGGCAGGAGTAGAATTTAGCAGAAAAGGAGTAGAAGAGACGTACCAGAAGAATACGAATAAGAGAGTAGGAGCAAGATATGACATCTTACTATCCTGTTATGCTACTCTTCTAATCTCTTTATCTTGTACTCCTACTCACCTAACCCTATTCTCCGATTCTTGCAGTTACCTTCCTGCCCTGCCTAGTTATTCTCCGACTATTTAAAAAACTCTTTTGAAACCGTCTACTTACTACTGGTTGAAAGATCATTTCCCTTACACTACTTTTGTCGTACCCGTGGTGTGGAATTCATCCTACTAATCGGCAGGAATAGAGGAATAGGAATAGGGAAGTACAGGTAATGGGGTGGGAATATGATGGGAATCGGAGTCCATCTCATACTTTGTTCAATCCCATCATGTCACTCCTACCTTCCTGCTTTTTGTTCTCTTACTCTCCTACTCCTGCCCTCTCGTTCCTTTTCATCTACTTTACCTTCCTGTTCTTCTTATTATCATACCGCTGCTCTCCTATTCCTGCTTTCCCACTCCTGCTCTCGGCCACTCTTAGTCTCCTATTCGTACCTTCCTATTCCCATGTTCACAGTCCTACTCTCCTACTTCCATGCTCATGCTTCTGCTGCCCTTTTACAGTTTCCAATCCCCCGGAGGTTTTTCAATTCCCTTCTTTCCTAGTCTCCAACCCCCATTCTCCTGTTCTCCTCCTGTGCTACTCTTCTGCTGTCCTGTTCTCTTGCTTTCTGCCTACTCTCCTACTCCTGCTCCTCTAACAACACACTCTCCTCTCCCACTCTCTTACTTCTACTCTCTTACTCCTGGTTTCTTACTCGTTTTCTCCCGCTCCTACTCTTCTATTCCTTCGCTGTGATGTGATTCGTATTCTCCCTGCCCCTAGTCTCCTCTTTCCATTGGATTACTCTTCTATTCCTACTCTTTTCCCATTTGTTCTCCTACTCCTACTCTTCTTTTCCTCCCCTTCACGGAGTAGGCATCGAGGTAGGGCAGTAGGAATAACAACAGATGTAGAGATTGGGACAAGCCTAGGAATACCGTACCTGTAGGAACAAGATCAGAACAAAAGTAGCGGTAGAACATGGTAGAACCTTAGAAGTAGCGCTAAGCGGAGGTGTAGTGCGGGATGGGGGGTGGTAAGGAGCGGGAAACAAATTTAGAGAGAGTAGAAGTAGAAGAGTAGGCCAGGTAGTCTAGAAGTAGACATAAGAGAGCTGGAATAACAATAAGACAGTAGATATGGTGGTGGGAATTGGGAAAACTAGGAAGGCTCAAGATGTGTGTAGGGGAGAGTCAGGGTAAGAACAGGAATAGCGGTAGAAGTCGGCGTAAGAGGAGGTGCAGGGCGGGTAAGGAGTAGGACACTAAATTGAGCGAGTAGGAGTTAAAGAATAGAACAAGTAAGTAGTCTAGATTGGACATGAGGGAGTTGGAGTATTAAGAGAATGGGAGTGGTGTAAGTTCGGGACTCACAGGCGGCCACACTCGATCAGCGAACGTTTTCCATCTTTCATGAGGCTCCGTCGTGACTAAGGGGGACCTTCGGTCCGTAATGTCGCGGATACACATTAACAGGAATCACTGACTGCATGCTCGCAGGAACACTGGTCTGATGCATGGATTTAACTGCGATTTCCACACACCCCCAAAACAGAACATGCATCAGACCGATTTCGCAGTCCTCTGTACTTGATTCCTTTGTCAATCCACTGATTCACCACTTCATCTTCTTTCAAGATAAAACACGCCTCTTTAAGAACCGGAAGAAGGAGACTGACAGGGGCCCCTATTTTCGTTAAGGAGTCCACAATCATCTGCTTGGTGGCCACCCATTTGAGCTCTATGCCATGCTCCTTGATATCATTCTTCACCAGCAGCATCTCGATGGCCATCCTCTTATCCTTCAGGGACACTGTACACGATGTGGCGTGATCGAACACTGGTTTGCAGTCCACAACCGCCGTCAAGGGAATACTTCTGCTCCACTTGGTGTTATCCTCCAGACTATATGCTTCATGAATTGCCTCGCACCACAAGGATCTCATCCATCTTGCCTCCGCGATAGCCCGAGACAATGACAACAGCTCAGCCCCAAGCGTCGAATGGGCTTGCCGATCTTGTTTGTAACTTTTCCATCGCAGCACTGAGAACCGTCCCCAATGCCCCTTTTGCAGCATACTGTCTCCGGCCGCAACCAAGTAGCCAGCCTGACTGCACTTCTCATCGGCATTTGCCCACGAAGCATCAGACATCACCACAAACTGAACCTCCGGTACAGGAATCGGCAGCACACGTACCTGGACGCATGCATTCTCCCTGGCCAGGCTCACCAGCTTGTTGGTCTCGATCAGCTGCTCCACTCGTGCTTTGCAAACCTTCTGCTGAAGCAAGGAGCACCATGCAGCTAAGTCTGGGCGGCTTCCACCTACAAGCCAGTTGACAGCTCCGAGGACGGCCCGCATTTGCTGTTGCTCAGCTTCGGTCACTTCCGCTTCTCTCTCTTTCCGTCTCTCCGTGCTGATCCGGATCCCTTGCAACTGACTCGCATACTCCATCTGGCACACAGTGATTTCACCGTCAGCTTCCTGCTTCAGCTTCTTACCTAGAAACTCTCCGCCTCCTATTTTCCAATGCTTAAAAGGGTAAATCCTCTTCAACTCATCAACAACCCTCTTCTGAAACACAGACCCTCCTCCTAGAATCATGTCATCAACATGCAACGAAATCGTTCCCTCAATGGCCCCTTCATGAAAGTACCAAAACACGCATGGATCAAACTTTGAGGGTCGCATGCCGAGCTTGACAAGTGCTGCTGTGAAGCTCTTCCACCATGCCTTTGGAGCATCTGCTAAGCCGTAGACTGTTTTCACTGCCTCAATTAGACAGTCCTCCCCTTCCGCGCATCCTGGAATGCCTCCCGGGGGAGGCTCTACAAACAAGCGGCCTCGTTGAGGATCAAGCTTGTCGCCACGTAGAAAGGCGCCCTCAACATCTGCAATCTGCAACTTCCAACGCTTGCTTGCAATCAACTGTGTCGTTATGGCAAAACCCTCAGCCGACAGTGTTGGCGCCGTTGTATCTAAGTGCAGCAAAGCAGGATCCAAATATCCCCTTATGCACCACCTGGCCTTAAGCCCTTGGTACTCGTCGCCCTGACCACTGTCCGACTCGGTAATGACAAAGCGCGACTTCATGAACTTTGCACGCCGACCGGTTGTCTCATCACAAACGGCATATTTCTCACGAAGTTCCCTCGCCGCCTGCCCTTTGTGCACAATGATCGCTTGGCTTTCTAAGAGCTTCTTCCATTCCTTCTCTTTGGCCTT